CCAAGGATGCCGGGCGAAGTTGGTGGATCAAACTGTTACATGGTGCCAAAGACTGCGGTTGGATTTTGTCACAGATTGAGCTGGCACTTTTCTACCTCTTCGACGAGGGCAGTCTTGTGGGCATCATGGCCAGTCATGTTGATGATCTCATCACTTGTGGCACCGGCCAGAAGTATCATGATAGCCTGCAGGAATTGACCAAGCGACTTCACTTGAAGGAGAAGGTTGGCGAATTTAGATTCTGCGGAAAGAATTTGGTTCAAGGAGACGACAAGAGCATCTCCATTGAGCAGATCGACGCCATTGAAGGCCTCGAGTACCAGATCATTGACAAGCACCGCAGGAAATTCCCAAACCTTCCTCTTACAGAATCTGAAAAGAGTGACTTTCGCAGCTTGATTCGTGCAATGGGCTGGATAGCCAGACAAACCCGACCAGATGTGATGGTCAATGTGAGTATCGCCTCTCAGTCTATGGGACATCCATGTGTCCGAGACGTCATTGAGCTCAACAAAGCAGTTAAGATGTTGAAAGAGAGTGCTGACTTCAAATGGTGCTTCAGACCTTCAGCCATCACACTTGAGAACTGTGTGATCTTCGTTTGTGCGGACTCCAGCTTCGCCAACACTGAAGGGCTGAAGTCTCAGTGCGGCTACATTGTTGGCCTTACTCTCCCTGAGCTCAAGTATGGCAAGGAGACCCCAGTTTTGATTTTGGAGGCGAATTCAACATCTATCAAACGAGTTTGTCGCAGCACCCTTGCAGCTGAATCCAATTCTTTTCTCTCTGGAGTAGAAGCAGCCATCTATGTGGCATCACTTCTTCGCGAGGTAATGCATCCTGGCGTATCTTTGCGAACTCTTGAGACTGAGTATAACCTCAAGAAAGTTTTGGCATTCACAGATGCGAAGTCTCTGGAATCCACGATCACAAAAGATGCAGGTCAGCCGACCGACAAGCGCGTCAAGATTTTGGTTTCCCAGATTCGAGAAATGATGGCAAAAGAATGTGAGACCATATGGGTTGACACGAGCCAGATGTTAGCGGACGTGCTCACGAAGTTGGGATGCGAACGTGAACTGATCCTGCAAGCGCTTTCCAGTGGCGTTTGGAAGCTGGCTCCAACTGATGAGGCTTTGGAAAAGAAAGCCGCAATCCGAGCAGGTAGACAGAATAGAAAGCAGCAGAAGAAAGGCATTCAACTTTCACCTGAGGACGGGTGAAAATCATGCATCCTCAGATTGCCTCCTGTTGCTCCAGGTTCACTCGAATGCCGCGACATTTGGGCACGAGGGCGCCCTTACGAGCTAAGGAAAAGACCTTCGCAGCTGCCACGCTGTTGTGCAGCTTTTGATAATATGATATAATATGATATAATATATTATAATATAGTATAATACCAGTAGTACCGCACAGGGCGGTGACAGAAGTTTCAAAAATAGGAAACCTATAGGAGAGATTGGCTGTTGTGACTCACGGATGGCAGAGCGAATCCACTGATGGACCGAAAGGTGCTTGAGGTCTCCTCTCTTTCTCTCTCTTTCTCTCTCTTTCTCTCTTTCTCTCTCTTTCTCTCTCTTTCTCTCTCTTTCTCTCTCTTTCTCTCTCTTTCTCTCTCTTTCTCTCTCTCTTTCTCTATCTCTATCTCTATCTCTATCTCTATCTCTATCTCTATCTCTATCTCTATATCTATCCATCCATCCATCGATCTATCTATCTATCTACCTATCTACCTTCCTACCTATCTACCTATCTATCTATCTGTCTGTCTGTCTGTCTGTCTATCTATCTCTCTATCTCTCTATCTCTCTGTCTATCTATCTGTCTATCTGCAAGCTTGAAAACGAAGCTATTCTGCGAGACTTTCTCAGTTTTTGAACTTGACAACATCAAAAACGCAGCAATTCAGCGAGACTTCCTCAGTTTTTGAACTTGACAACATCAAAAACGCAGCAATTCAGCAAGACTTCCTCAGTTGTTGAACTTGACAACATCAAAAACGCAGCAATTCAGCGAGACTTCCTCAATTTTTGAACTTGACAACGTCAAAAACGAAGCAATTCTGCGAGACTTCTTCATCTTTCAAAGTTGACAGCATCAAAAACAGCAATCTGCGAGACGTCCTTCAAAAATGGAAAGTTGCATGCAATGCTGATGGCCTCGTAACAATGCGTTTTGCGATTTTTCGAGTCCACCTGTCTAAACTACTGCGCCTGCCACGAAAAAGTGATGCCAGGTCATACGAAGTGCTGCACCTGTCACGCAAAATCATTTCAGCAAACCTGAAGATCTGATGCTCCAAAATGCAACCCCTCTCAGGAAATCAGTGCCCGGACCTCCTAACAGCTCTGATGAAGATGTCTCTTGTACTGCGCCTGCCACGGAAAATGCATCTTTGCAGATCCTGTTCAAATGTCCCACGCCTGCCATCGTTTCTGGAAATGCTACAAAACCCTCACGTTTTGCTCACTTTTGACAAGGTCCACAACTCCTTGTGCCTGCCACGCGAAACGACATCTGAACCCCCAAAAGTGGCGCGAACATGTGGTGCTTTGTACATTTTGACTTCGACATGTGCTTCGCGCCACAACGGCGTGCACTTTTTCGACATCTCAACTTCCAAAAGTGGCCCGGATCTGGTGTGCTTTGTACATTTGGACTTCGAAATGTGCTTCGCGCCACAACGGCGTCCACTTTTTCGACATCGCAACTTCCAAAAGTGGTCCGAACGTGAGGTGTTTTTAACTTTTTCACTTGCAAACCGCGCCACAACGGCATGCACTTTTTCGACATCTCAACTTCCAAAAGTGGTCCGAGAATGGTGTGTTTTGTACATTTTCACTTCGAAATGTGCTTCGCGCCACATCGGCGTGCAATTTTTCATCTCTCATCTGGCCAGATGGCTCCGCGCCCGCCACTTTAGCGAGCCTACTTTTTGTCCCTCCGGAGCGACAAATCATTGGAAAAACATAGTGTTTCGCGACTTTCCTACCTTTTCGCGCATCTGCATCTTCTTTCTTCTGACTCTTTCTCTTCTCTGATCTTCTCTCTTCTACTCTTCTCTTCTCTCTGACTCTTCCCATCTCTGCTTTTCATCTGTCCATATTGTCGGAAGTTTGACTTCTAAACTTCCTTCGATAATATATAAAAATATAAAAACATATAATTTAATATAATATAATATAAATTACTTTACTTCGTGTGATCCCCACCATGACATTTATACATTTTGTTACTCGCAAATCTTCTGGCATTCTATCTGACATATCTTCTGGCATTCTATCTGGCATATCTTCTGGCATATGTTCTGGCATACCTTCTGGCATTCTATCTGGCAAATCTTCTGGCATTCTATCTGGCATATCTTCTGGCATTCTATCTGGCAAATCTTCTGGCATTCTATCTGGCATATCTTCTGGCATTCTATCTGGCAAATCTTCTGGCATTCTATCTGGCATATCTTCTGGCATATCTTCTGGCATTCTATCTGGCATATCTCATGGCATTTTATCTGGCATATCTTCTGGCATTCTATCTGGCATATCTTCTGGCATATGTTCTGGCATATCTTCTGGCATATGTTCTGGCATTCTATCTGGCATTCCATCTGACATATCTTCTGGCATTCTATCTGGCATATCTTCTGGCATATGTTCTGGCATATCTTCTGGTATATGTTCTGGCATATCTTCTGGCATTCTACCTGGCAAATCTTCTGGCATTCTATCTGGCAAACATTCTGGCACTTTATCTGACATATCTTCTGGCATTCTATCTGGCATTCTATCTGGCATATCTTCTGGCATATGTTCTGGCCTATCTTCTGGCATATCTTCTGGCATTCTATCTGGCATATCTTCTGGCATTCTATCTGACATATCTTCTGGCATTCTATCTGGCATATCTTCTGGCATATCTTCTGGCATATATTCTGACATATCTTCTGGCATTCTATCTGGCATATCTTCTGGCATATGTACTGGCATATCTTCTGGCATTCTATCTGGCATATCTTCTGGCATATTATCTGGCAAATCTTCTGGCATTCTATCTGGCATATCTTCTGGCATTCTATGTGGCATATCTTCTGGCATATTATCTGGCATATCTTATGGCATTTTATCTGGCATATCTCATGGCATTTTATCTGGCATATCTTCTGGCATTCTATCTGACATTCTATCTGGCATCTCTTCTGGCATTCTATCTGGCCGTTGAGGTCCAGCGGTGCACACTGAGCTGGGCAGGTCCCAGGTTGAGGTCCAGCGGTGCACACTGAGCTGGGAAGGTCCCAGGTTGAGGTCCAGCGGTGCACACTGAGCTGGGCAGGTCCCAGGTTGAGGTCCAGCAGTGCACACTGAGCTGGGAAGGTCCCAGGTTGAGGTCCAGCGGTGCACACTGAGCTGGGAAGTTGGCAAAGAGCTTGGCGCAGAGAGTCGGCGAAGAGAGTTGGCAAAGAGCTTGGCGAAGAGTTGGCAAGGCGGAAGTGGAGGTGGAAGTTGATGCAGACATGGTCGAGGAGAAACTAGAGGAGGAGGAGGAGGACGAGGAGGAGGAGGAGGACAGCTAGCCGAGGAGGAGGAGGAGTAGGGAGAACAACTCTGATAAAATCTAACAACCCTCACCTGGCAGGTGGGGAAAAAACTTGTATAATATAATATAACTTAGTAAAATATTTTTTAACATAACATAACATAACATAATATAATATGATATAATATAATATAATGCCCCAACATTCATCATCCCCAAATCCATAACACTGATGGCGAATTCAGCGCCAGCTGGATCCAACGGACTGACCCTTGCACGCGCGGAGTTGGCTCAGCGAACGAATCGAACGCTGGGCTGAACTGGTTGAGAACAGTATGATAAAATCAGTAGGAATACATAGCAATACCATATGAAATCATCTGCCATAGTAAATATCCAGAATGGTATTAGTATTTGAATCATCCAGAGGTTTTTCAAAGGAAAAGTTTCGGGCCCAACATCTGAGATGCGAGCGAAGCCATGCAGGGTGCCCAGGAATTTCTTCCTTACTGCTACGAGGCCACTGATGGCGCATGTGCCGTGGTTTGGATGAGTCTTATTGTGCAGTCGTGTGTATTCATGTTTATTTTTATGGCAATCAAAAAATCTCTAGGGTCAAGTCGCTCTGCCGATCTATTCTCTGAGCACATATACTATAATCATCTAGAATCATCCTTAATCATCTATAATCATCTACAATCATCTATAATCATCCTTAATCATCTACAATCATCTAGAATCATCTACAATCATCTATAATCAGCTACAATCATCTATAATCATCTAGAATCATCTACAATCATCTATAATCATCTACAATCATCTAGAATCATCCTTAATCATCTACAATCATCTACAATCATCTATAATCATCTACAATCATCAACAATCATCTAGAATCATCCTTAATCATCTAGAATCATCCTTAATCATCTAGAATCATCCTTAATCATCTAGAATAATCCTTAATCATCTAGAATCATCTATAATCATCTATAATCATCTACAATCATCTACAATCATCCAGAATTATCCTTAATCATCTAAAATCATCTACAATCATCTACAATCATCTATAATCATCTAGAATCATCTACAATCATCTAGAATCATCCTTAATCATCTAGAATCATCCTTAATCATCTAGAATCATCTACAATCATCTATAATCATCCTTAATCATCTATAATCATCTATAATCAGCTACAATCATCTATAATCATCTAGAATCATCTACAATCATCTATAATCATCTACAATCATCTAGAATCATCCTTAATCATCTACAATCATCTATAATCATCCTTAATCATCTACAATCATCTAGAATCATCTACAATCATCTATAATCAGCTACAATCATCAACAATCATCTAGAATCATCCTTAATCATCTAGAATCATCTACAATCATCTATAATCACCCTTAATCATCTATAATCATCTATAATCATCTACAATCATCTATAATCATCTACAATCATCTAGAATCATCCTTAATCATCTAGAATCATCTACAATCATCTATAATCATCTACAATCATCTATAATCACCTACAATCATCTAGAATCATCCTTAATCATCTACAATCATCTATAATCATCTATAATCATCTAGAATCATCTACAATCATCTATAATCATCTACAATCATCTATAATCACCTACAATCATCTAGAATCATCCTTAATCATCTAGAATCATCTACAATCATCTATAATCATCTACAATCATCTATAATCATCTATAATCATCTACAATCATCTATAATCATCTATAATCATCTACAATCATCTATAATCACCTACAATCATCTATAATCATCTATAATCATCTACAATCATCTATAATCATCTATAATCATCTACAATCATCTACAATCATCCAGAATTATCCTTAATCATCTAAAATCATCTACAATCATCTACAATCATCTAGAATCATCCTTAATCATCCTTAATCATCTATAATCATCTACAATCATCTATAATCATCTACAATCATCTACAATCATCTAGAATCATCTACAATCATCTACAATCATCTATAATCATCTATAATCATCTACAATCATCTACAATCATCTATAATCATCCTTAATCATCTATAATCATCTATAATCATCTATAATCATCTACAATCATCTATAATCATCTATAATCATCTGAAATAATCTTTAATCCATTTTTCATCTATCCAATGTCGATCCTGTATCTAAGCTATCTCTGCAGGCCAAGGAGGGTCGCCGGGAGGAGAATTCCGACTCCGCCGAGACCCAAGGGTGGATGATGAACAGGGGTATCCCCATGACTTAGGAAACCCCCTTAAATGATGACATATATGAATATATTCATATATATATATATATGAATATGTGTATATATATATAAATACACATATGAAGATATGATGACACACCATGTTTTTTTTGATGTTTCAAGATTTATGGCGGCTTGTTTTTTTCGTTTGTTGATCATTGGTCCTCGGTGCACAAGGCCTATGCCGCCGCCCTGCAGGCGCGGGGAGAACCTGGCGATCATAGCAACACAGCAATTTTGTATAGCAAACATGTGGGATGAAAGCTGGCGAAAAATGGTGATTTAGTGGGTTTTTTCATCCATGTCGCCAAATAAATCAATACTATAACCATTAAAAAAATGATGTAACCGTAGCAAACCGAGCCAAGTTCTCAGAATGGGGTTTATACATCATTTTGACAATGCCCGTGGCATTGCGAGGGAGCAACTGCTGGAATAAAAAAATTCGATGGTCGAAAATGGTGAAAACTACAGGTTTCTCAACTCCTCAGTTGTAGAATGACAAAGAATGACAAAGAATGACCATTCTCTGTGGATCCCTATGGAAAGCATGTCCGCCAATCCTGTGACACTGTGAGAATATTGCCGATTCGACCGGAGACATTCGGGAACTTGGATTCGACCCCCCTACCCAACGGTGTTTCTGTATGTCTGGGTATGGTACGGAGATTTACGGGCAGGCATCAGAAAATAGGAACATTTTGGAATTTGGGAACTTTCGCGATATTGATAAGATGAGATCAGGTGTAGAGGATCCATGGTTGGGCAATGATTTTTCAGCCCGCTCCAAAAAAGACGGGGCAGCTTCCGCAGCCCTAAAGATGAACAACGTTGTTCTTGATCCGAGGATCGCTTGAACAAAGTCAGAGCAGAAGTTGAGCTACAGGCAGGTTGAGGATTCAGTCAAAGTTTTGTGCCCCTCCTGTCCCGGAGTTTGAATGGCTTATAATCATAAGATATATCCGAACATGGGATGCGAAAGAAAGTGGTTCCTGGAAAAATTTGTTTGCGCAGTTTTCGAGGCTGGTTTCTTGGTAGAAGAAACCATCAAATATTCTCAAGTTTGAGACACCCATAGATTGTCATGTTCAAAGCGTTTAACAGAACTCGTATATAGAATTTCTTGAAAGATAGAGCAGGACCTATCAACCAACCGTGAGGCGAAAGTTGCCCAGAGCCTCAAGCGGGAGTTGGATGAAGTGGAAAGCCAGGTGGTGCAGTCACCAGTTAGGACATGATATGGGGATGAGGATCAAATAAGATCAAATACCTGCCAAGGGAGTTTCCTAAATTGAGGGTACCCCTAAATCATCCATTTGAATAGCTGGTTGGTGGTTTGGAACATGAATTTTACGACTTTCCATATATTGGGAATGTCATCATCCCAACTGACGAACTCCATCATTTTTTAGAGGGGTAGGCATACCACCAACCAGTAATCAATTTTGGGGATCCCCCATCGATGGAAACCCCCATTTCTGGCTGGAAACGGACCATCAGCGGGACGGAGTTTCGTGACGATCTCAAGATGGATGGCTTCCCAATTGCAGAGGCACTTTTGATTTTGAGATGTGCAAGAAGCACTGTAAAGCCATAGGGTTCCCCAAAAGCGATAATGGCACAAAACACTGGAACGGGAAAAATGGCCCCCGCATTTTAGCGGAACCGACAATAGCACCTACTGAGATGTGAAGGATTTTGACGGGAGCTCATATGTGTGTGTAGATGTAGATAATTATAGATATAATTATACAATCCCTTCCCCTTAATACTCAACACCCCCTAGAAACTATGGTTTGGTAGGGAATTTCCACATTCCATTGGGACCATGCAATTGGGGTGTTTGATATTTGGGGGATGGGATTATACATAAATGTATATATATATACACATATTTATTTATATTTATATGTTATGTTGTGTTATGTTCTGCCCTGTTACGTTGTGTAAAGTGTAAAGTGAAGTAAATCAAACTAAAGTAAATTAAATCATCTATGTATGTGTATATGTCGTACACATGTGTATATATAAATATATATACTGTAGATGCGCTTATGCATATATATGTATATATATATATCTATCTCGCAATCTCCCGTGTTTTTTTAAAACCGAGTCACCGAACGCTTCCACTGGTGGCTCTGCCAAACAGGCCAAGCAAAAGCACGAGGTGCGATATCGACGGTGTCGATTTTTTTCCCATGGTTGGTCCCCAATAGGAAGAATAATGACAATGAGTCTGTGAGGATTAGTGGTTGAATAAAAACCATGGGGATTATGGTTGGTCCAGAACTGAAAATGGAGGGATGTTGATAAATGTTGATCATACTTTGGATATGTTTTTCTTTTGAAGAATCCAGTCAGGGAGAACATGTGATCCTTTGTCGAAACCAAGTGCATCAGAACCATGATATTGTAGGTTGATGTTGGTTCATATATCCTTGCGGTTTTCAAACGGTTCCACATTCTTCTTTGTCTATGTAGTTGGATGTGCGTTACGCAGGAATCGCACAAACGGTTACCCTGTGTTTTTTAAGTCTCGGATTCCGAGATTTTTCGGTATTCGCTTGCAAGATCTATGCAGAACGGAATCACTGCCTGGAACAAATGTAGCCTCTGGTAAGCTAACATAGCTATGGAAAATCACCGTCTTTAATAGGTACATCAACTATTTCTATGGGCCATTTTCAATAGCTATTTTGACATAACCAGAGGGTAGCATCCAAGTCATCACTCGTCATGGCACTGAGTTTTTTTTGGTTGCAGAATCCAATGCAAGATAATGGAAGTCACCCAAATGAGCGAATGGCGAATTTGTCAACCGGCTCAGCCACCCCTGGTGGCCGTTGTACCTTCGGAGGCCATGTGATGTTTTTGTGCTACGCTACTACGCCTAGGGAGTCCACGATGTTTTTTGGGGTTATCAGTTGCATTACAACCATGGCCAGGCTATGCCAGGCTCACTGGGATGATCCAAATTTTCATCAATTTCGATTTTCCATCAATGAGATGATTCCTGCAGAATCATTTCCCGGAAAGTCCCGCATAAAAAAAATTCATTGCATGAAAATTTCCGATGAACTTCCAACACCAGAGTGATGATGTGGATAGTCCAACCATCCCTTTGGGTTGATTAAAAAAACCCTTCGCGTGCTCGATGAAATCGCCTTCGTCCGTCTTCTGGATTTTCCCATGGAACCTCCATGGCTTGCGGAATTCCTGACCGTTTCGGGTAACTCCCCATTCCCCATAAATCCCAACGATATCCCCAATTTCGATGCTCCAATCCTTTCAGAATCCCATTTTTTTGGGCTGTACTCCCATTTTTCAGAATCCCATTTTTGCCATAGTTGGTATTAAAAACACCTACTTAAATTCGATTTTTTGTTGACATAACGACATAATCCCTTCCTAACAACACTCCCCCAGAAACCTCCGGTTTAGTCGGGAAATTCCCAAAATCATCGGGACCATAGAATGGGGCTGTTAAACCCATAGGATCCATGGTGCTGGTATATATGCTAACATTTGGGGTATATTGATGGTAAAATATGGTAAATGTTACCATACATACCATACATGGATCCTATGGGTAATATGAATGGGGGATATTTCCCTTGGACTCCCGCTGTTGACGCTTCAGGAGCTTCGGGAACTTCGCCACGATTGGGCCAAAGAGCAGATCTCCAGGGTGTGGATCGGTGGGAATCTGGTTGGTTTTGCATAGAAATGATGGATTGGTTTAAGGGAAAATCTACAGGAAACCATAGATTTTCCCATGAAATATGGGGCTTTCCTGTAAATTTTCCCTTAAACCAATCCATTGATAGAAATGATGGAAGATATTGGAAATCCCAATGGAGCTTTGTAGCTTTAGAAATTTGGGAGGATGTTCCAGCTGGAGCTGATCTCCAGTGACGGTTACGATTGGAAACTGGATCGGCAGAATGTCCTCTGAGATCCTGTCAACATCTAGTTTTGGTGAAATTGGATGATTTTATATACCCTCTGGTTATTTAACATAGCTATGGAAAATGGCCCATTTACAGATGATTTTCCCATTAAAACCTCATAATGGATTTTCCAAAGCTATACTAAATAACCAGATGGTAAATATCAGATGTACCCGTTTTACAGGAATGGGTGTACCGTTTTGTCCCCTGAGGGGCCTGGAAGAAGGTCCACTGTCAGACATCGACAATGGCTGCCGGTCAACCCAAAAAATGACCGCAAAATGGTGCTTCCCAACTTGCGATATGAGCCACATGGAGTGAGCATGAGATGCTGCTACTCCATAGTCCCAATCTCCTCTCAATTCTATCATTCGATCGATACTCTGTCTTTCTCTCTCTCTCTCTCTCTTTCTCAATATATATATACACACATACATACATATATTCTATATATACACATACATACATATATATATATATACATATATATATATATGTATATATATAGACATATATACAGTATATATATATATACACATGTCTCTCTATCTCTCTATCTCTCCCTCCTCTGTAGCTCTGTTTACACATTTATATACATGAATACATCCATTCTATGGCTACTTACCTCGAACCATCTCCGGCAGTGGTCGTTCTGTCCCGCAGGAAGCGCTTTTGAGAGAAACTGGGGAAACTGAGCGTAGTCTCGTGGGCTCCTCATTGCATGGTGGTGCCAAAAAAGTTGGAGGTATATCTCCCATCCACAAGTGATAACTTTGGGATATAGCTTTGGGATAGAGCTTTGGAATAGGTTTTTCGGATAGAACATTGGGATATTAATGCAATATTGCCATCCCAGCTAGCATAGACTCTGAGAATCACTACTTTTGGAGGAAAGAATTGCATTGAATCTAGTCTTCCAACCCCCCATGAATGGCAGCGTCGTCAAATTTGGGGGCATGGAAAGCCAGGAGAAACATTTGTTGATGAATCTCGGACAGAATTGAAGTTTTCATGAGTTTGAGGACACCGTCTAGTAAACCTTTCGGTTGATTCATCGGAGTTTTTCTGAACTGGGGGTCATTAGAGATGGCTTTCCTCATATCCCATAGGATCCATGGTGCTGGTATATATGCTAACATTTGGGGTATATTGATGGTAAAATATGGGATCCATGGAGCACCATATATACCATACATGGATCCTATGGGTATGACCCCGCTTGTCCGCTTGGGACATCTCCCAGGCTTTGAAGGAACGGCGATGTGCCGAGACCTTGGCGAAACATGTGGCTGCGGAGTTGCCAGGAGGCGCCTCGTTTTGGGATGGACAGCCAAAGGGGGCCCGTGGTGTGTTTCGGATGGCTCGGTGAGCAAGCCATGTTTTTTTTTTCAGTGGATTGGTGGTTACTACTTAGTTAACTTAGTTAACTTAGTTACTATGATCATATCGAGTTCATCCCAGTTCTGTGTCACTGATCTCCTTGAACGGAGGTTTCTGGGACGCCTTAGACCTGAAAGACTCAATCATTGACTGAAGCAACTGAAAATGGAAGATGTCGTCACATTTTCAGATAACTTTCGCGAGGAAATATGTCGGGGTTTTGGACACGACTCCTCTTGCCAGTTGCTAGTTCTTTGTTGCGGGGTTCCTTAGAAACCCTCCAGATACGTTGTAACACGCTGAAAATGACAATGTCAATGGAATATTATGTATGTGTTTGCACGTTTTTGTGGATGGACAATTCCACTTAAGATTAGATGTTCTGAAAGACCTTGAGGATCAGTTGTCATAACCACAGGAATAAGCAGTAGTTGTGAGATTGTGTACGCGGATGATTCAGCAAAGTGTGAAAGGCTTCAGAGACAGGATCATATAGTATAGTCTGAAAACGGGGTCCCCCAAATGTTAATATTGGTTGCTCATCATTTTCCTCAGTAAAAATTCAGGGAATTTCAATGATATAGCCTATTTTCAGACACATATGTGCCCTGATTCATCAATGACCTTGGTGACATCACAATGTCCTTTGTTTCAAGATAACGAGCACACGCGAAGCTCTCCTTCGCAGCGAAACGCGATGCTCACGGCACCGAAAGGGCCGCGCGTGACCCGCTTCCGACGCTTCCGATGCTTCGAGGTCTGGACAGGAACCTCTCGGACGCTAACACGAAACGATCGAAGCGAAGTCGCGGCAGTGGATGTGGCCCCTGAGGGCCAGAAAACTGCAAATCAACGGCAGCGGCGTGGGAAACCAGCTTCCACCATGGCATTGATGGCATTGAATCAAAAGATCTCAGCATATGCCAAAGAAAGTCTCTGGGAGGAGGCCATCAATCGGCTCTTTTCGAAGAAAACTGTGGATGTTGTGAGCTTCAATGCAACCATCAAGGCATGCGGCAAAGGCACACACTGGCAGCTGTCCACATATTTGTTGAAGCAGATGGTTATACAAGAAGTCAGCCCTGACATCATCAGCTACAATACAGCCATAGGTTCTTGTGAGAAGGAGAGTCAATGGCATTTAGCTCTACATTTGTTTGAGGAGATGTGTTCTGTGCGACTGACTCCAGACTCGATCACTTTCGCCACGGTTCTGCGTGTTTGCGAATGGAATAGAGCCCTATTTCTGCTTCAACAAATGCTTGAAGAAAGCGTGCAGCCGAACCAACAGATCTTGGGGACTGCAGTCCATGTGTGCGAAAAGGGCAGTCAGTGGCAAGAGGCCTTGAATTTCTTAGAGGGAATGCAGGAGGATGCTGAGGCGAAACTCAGTGGTGCTACGTTCAGTGCCGGCATGAAAGCTGCCAAGAGAGGTCAGCAATGGCAGTGGGCGGTGCATTTGCTTCAGATGACATCACAGATTGGGCCAAGGCAGATGAATTTCGAGACTGCCTTGGATCTTTGCGCCCGAGCTGAACAATGGAGCATGGTACTGGAGGTCTTCACTTCCATGTCAGCAACAAATTTGTGGCCACGCAGTGGACATCTCTATAGCATCATTCGATCTTGTGAGAAGACTGGTCGCTGGCAGCTGGCTTTGCATCTCTTGGACAGAGTGTGGACAGGTTCTCAGGGTGAGACGGTTGACTATGGGCCGAGAGAGGAAGATCATCAAAGCGCCATCCGTCGACTTGCTATGGTGACGCTTCAAAGTTGTGAAAGCGCGGGCCAGATGCAAGTTGTGCGGCAGCTGAAAAGGCGAATGAGGAAGGCCAAGATACGTCCAGAGAATATTCAGCAGGCTTTATCAGCTGGATCAGCTGGATCTACTGATGGATCTACTAATGGATCTACTGGATTTGCTGCTGGATCTACTGATGGATCGACTCGATCTACTGATGGATCTCTCAAATCTACTCCAAAGCTGTTGATCTTGGCTTCAGCTTCCGACGTTTCCCAAGACCTCCGCCAGTGGCTCCAAGACTCTGTGGCCGTGGAATTGGCGCAACGCCGCCACAGCTTCCACTGCAGCATCCAGGGCCGATCGGCGTCGGGGTCACAGGTCCTGGCGCTGTTGCAACGCTGGAGGCTGTGGGCCACCTGGGCTCCCGGGCCGCCCGGTGGGTCGCCAACCGGGTGGCGTTTGGAGCTGGAAGTGACGCGCCGGGACCTGGCGTTACTTCGAGACCTACAGAAAAGGTGGGTCTGCGCTTTTGGATGAGACTTGGGGTTGCACACAAAATCCAAAAGTATGGTACAGTATGATACAGTATCATGTTCTAAGTAGGTGCCTTACGTTCCAGTTGTATATCAACCAAAGTATCCTACATTTTCGGACAAACCAATTTGGGAGCCCACGTCAAAGAGCACCCGAAATCGGATTTTGGATGGTTTTCCAAAATGCGTATTTGAATGCCGGGGCTTTGACCACAGGTTCAATCGAAAAGCCCCCATTGAAACGCAATAGTATATCCTGACTATGAATCTGCATAGATGTGTATATAATTATATATAATATATGATATAATATCAATATCTGTATACATCGATCTTACAACCGATGTCACAGTTACAACGCGATCACGATGAACTGCATTACAATTTGGAGGAACAGCCAAGCAGGCAGTTTCAGAGTAGAAATATGGAGCGCACGTATACTCTATGTTGGTATGGATCAAAAGCTTTGATAATCTGGAGTTTTTTGGGACATTTACCAGCGATTTGGGTGTGAACAGAAGGGTACCAGGATGCATAACCATCCTGATGGAATGACCAGGGGCTCCTTATATTTATGTAGTTTGATGTAATTTGACCATCTGAGTTCTATATGAACCTTGCAAGTTTGGGGTCCTAACCCAGCCAGAAAACTCAGCAGCCAGGTGCACGGAAAGCACGGACAGGTGGGAGATGGAGACAGAGATGATTCGGATGAGTGGTTGCCCCTGCACCCTACTGATAAATGGTATACCTATAGATCCTATAGCCTATAGGTAGTCCCAACTGCACCAGATTTCCGAGTGTACGTGAACAACGAACTCTGGAATATCATCGTGGACGAAAATATGAACAATGTCCCAGCCAACATTCCTGGCAGCAAGGCCACAGGACTCACTCATGATTTTTGTCATTTGGACAGCAAGAATGGTGATGAAGTCTACCGGAACTTTTGCTTTGAAGAGGTAACCAGTTGGGGTAGCGAGGGCCTCCCAGTCGAAAAATCGCAGATCTCCACGGGTCCTGCAGGTGCTGAGAAGAGTGAAACCTCGCCAAGTTCTGAGGAAATACGGACAAGAAACTGAACATGTGAACAGGATCAGGTTGAAACAATGGATATAGGGCCTATAGGGATATGGACGGAAAAAAATGAACGGGCTATCATCAGATCATGTAGGTCAGAGTGAACCGCCTCAGGTTGATGGTCTGTTTGATTGATCTTGACCTGGCCAGCTGGTGTCCTGAACCGAAAAAATACCCATCCCCTTGGCAAACATGAACCGGGATTCCAAGATGTTCGGAAAATCATCTTCAAATGGAAGATGGCCCCCTTAATATCCATTGAATATCCAATCCAAATTCCTTTTGCCCGCTGAAACAGTTTTGAAAGGCAAGTGAAAGCTGCTAAGGCGCCGTTTGGCTTCCTTGGAAGAGAAGCGTGTAGAGCTGTCTGCGGGCTTGCAGGACACTAAAAACGTAGGGTTTGGAAAGGTCCGTGTATTTTGGTGACCACTAAACAGATACACCGGCAATACGGCAATCTGGGGGTGCAGACTTGGGGCTGCAGTTAAGATTATGGGTAGAACCATGGGAGTTAAATACCCATGAGCTGGGATATAATGATATAATGTGGGGCCCCCTAGATAGCTAAGTTGGTTTATAACTCCAATAACTATGGTTTATGATACTTATAACTATAGTTAATGGGATTTATAAACCAACAATTATCACTGGGGGGCCCCACATTGTATAATATATAACAATTTTCTTATCCAACCACGTATTAGTGAAGCTGCCCCCCAAGTATTGTAGGACGAATATGACAAATGTACATGTGATTTTCAAGCCATCCAAACAGCGGGGCTGAGCAATGTGTCAAACAAAGTGGAAGACACCCTTGGAAATCAGCAAGTATCCTGCTGCTTTTTTCCAGCAGTCAACTTCGAGGTGTAAAGTTTTTGATCCAAGGAAATTCCGAGAAAACTTGGCTGTTTGGCATCTCGATCTGGTTGGACTTTTCCCATCCCTCACATCATGGCATCATAGAGTCTGACGGGTCCACAACATCAAATCATCTCTGGGGTGGGTCAAAATTCCAAATCCTCTCCACAGACACAAAATGAAATTGATCCCAAGGCTACCCCAGTTTCCGACCAGTTTCCTCAGCTGTTACATCTTGTTACGACCTTTTCCTTTTCAAAGTTCGATAAGTCTCCGATCAGTTCCATGGTTTTTCCTCAACCCATGGATCCATGGGTTTTTTCGTCCGGCCGGTGCTGGGCCATGCTGGCCATGCTGGCCATGCTGGGCCTGGCGTCGGCGTCGTCCTACGCACCGGTGGAGCTGTGCTTCGACGTGGTGGATGCCACTGCCTGGAGCTGTTGCGACACGAAAAAGTATGGCCCCAGAGGCGGCGAAGAAATGGCGCACTGGGCTCACATTCTGAATGGAATCTATGTCTATAAATGGTCTATAAATGGTCTATAAATGGTCTATAGGTGGTCTATAAATGGTCTATAAATGGTCTATATCCGGCTGAGTTTTTAATCATGTTTCTCCAGCATTCCAATGTGCTTTTGTCCCAGAGAAATAAGGCTTTTCCGTGGTTGGAGATGTCTCCCCAATCAGCGGGTACTCTAAATTGATTCCCTGACGCCGCTGTGTCAACCGACACCCGTGATCCGAAGGTCGGAAATCTTGCTTCGATGGCATCTTCAACTTCGAACGCTGCTGCCGTGGGCTGCCAAGAGAGGTTTTGTCAGACTCTACCAGCGAATGATCAATGATCACTATAGAGGATCATCCCACGTTTCATGTAAGTGGTTGATAAGCCTGTTAGTAAGTCCCCTAAAGTTATCCCATAGCTGGGTTATAACATGTTATAACCCCAGGTACCATCCATTAGTAGGGATGATCCTCGGGCAGATCTGAGGCGAGATGTTTGATTTTGATCTGACGCATTGCTGTGGGAGCAGTTTCTTGAATCATCTTGAATCCATTGGAGCGGGCGGCCAGCGGCCAACTGTAAGGATGATACATGGATGTGGGTCAAAATGGAAGACCTAGGGGACCACAGATGGAAATGTCTAGTTTAGTATTAACCATCCATAATTTTGGGGTACCTAATTTTGACCCATACCCATATATTGAACAAGTGATCCGTTTCTTCCGGTGGAGGTTGGAAATCGGAGAAGTGAAACGGTGCACCAGTTTTGAGCTTGGACTCCAAGATTGGCTGTCTTTTCTCCCTTTCATCCCCTGCCAAGGCATGGTTTTCAAGCAGGCATCCAAGGGGTGGGTAAAAAAAAACAATGATTTTCCATTTGCCATATGATTGAGCACATGAACTATGCCAACTACTTTGATGTGAACTCCAGTTTCTATGTGATTGTCTGCGTTGAAGTTCCAGATTTCAGGCTCCTCATGCCCAGTCATGCCAAGTGATGCCAATGTCATTGCGTTGAGGTTCCAAGTGCCTGGACTTTTCCTTCAGATGTGTCAGCGGTAGCGGTCGCAAGGAGTGTTGGATTCGTCCACGTCGCTTAAAGGCCATGCGTCAACACCTTCGGAGCTTCGGTCACAACGCGACGACCTGCCACTCGACGATATTCCAGTGGTGAAGCCGCGGTGAGATCTGCAAAGGACACATCAAATCTATTCACATCTACCGTTTCAAGGTCTATTGAGTCTATTACATCATGAAATCATCAGAAATCAATGGGATTGTTGCCGTTGTTTTCCTATTTTTGGGGAAACAGCAGCGAAACGGCCCGGGTTGGTTTTCTTGGGTCCAGTTGATCATCCTTGGTGGGCGATGCAACCAAATAATTGACCAAACTGGCCCCTCTATTTTGTCCTAAAAGGACAAGATTCAAATCCCAGTAAGAAAATCCCATTAAAATCACGATTAAACCACTATAAAATCACCATTCGTCCCAAGTCTCCCGAGAAGGTCAACTTCAAAATCGTCAGGTGATGATGGCTCAGCTCTATTCCCTCCACGTTACATTGCGGTGCAAGAGAAACGTGGTGATGTGGACAGTGGCCGTCAGCTGAGTTTGAAAGGTGTCACGGCCAGAAAAGCCAAATAACTTAGCACGGGAGTAGTTGTTCTCCATCTGTATCCATATCTGTATCTATATCAATATCCATATGCATATCTTTGTCTCTATTTTTATCTGTCTATCTATCTATCTATCTGCCTGCCTGCCTGTCTGTCTATCTGTCTATCTGTCTATCCATCGAATCTCTACCTCTCCCTCGCTCTCTCCTTAGACATCCGTGTTTTCCCACTCAAAGGGGAGCAACACGCGGTATTTTTGACGCTCATTTGGATGACCAGCACGCTACTTTCGCTGTCTGTCTGAAAGTCGTCAAAGTCATCCACTCGCAGCAGCCGTTGAGGTACCATTTTTCAGACAGAGAAGATCATGCCGAAAAGCAAAACGTTGCCTCGACGTCCGCCGACTACCGCTGATCCATGCCTCGGTGAATTCCTTCGTCGAGAACAGCTCTTTGGAACCTGCATCCAAAGTCATCATACAAAGAGTCACGTGTCCGAAAAGAGAACATTGGCAGCTGGTGTTTTTTCCTTGACTTTGGTGAAGATCTGTGAAGATTTATGGTTATCCATGATTAACGTGGTTCATGATGGATATTTTTTGATGGTTCATATTTTATCACCATGAACTATTCAACACAAGATCAACAAAACACAAGCATATCATAATATCACAAGCATTTTCCGGACCAAGATCAAGTCTGGATTCAGGTCGTGGCAACCCCTTTCGTTTGTCGCAGCCCCTGGTGGATTTGCCCTGCGCCACGCGCTGCGTTGCCGGGTGCAAGATCTATGCCGCTGTGGCGGCCTTGGCCGTCGGCTCCTCCAGCGACCTCGAGGACAGTCGCTTCATCCTGGCAGTGCCCAAGGCCTGCAGCAACGGAGACGTGGCCTTCAGGCGGAGATGTGCTGAGATGTGGCAAGTCGCGCACATACACACAAACACATGATCACACACACACATAATATATATAATATATATATAATATTATACATAATATAATATACATGTATATAGATATATTATATATATTATTCATGTATGATTTTGCGTTTGCTTTCTTTCGCGCCCAGGGTTTTGCCACATGTGGTTTCCCAGCGCTCCAGCGGTGAAGTTCGAGTGGCGGAGGTGCGCTTGCATCACTTCGAAGCGGGCGACCCCTGCGAACATCGCGGGCGCCCTGAGGCCGCTCCCATCATCTTCACCTCGCTGCTTCTGCTGATGCTACCCCGACTATTGCGGCTATCTGTGCCTGTGCCGATAAAAGGAGCAGTGGCAAATGGCCTTCATGGCCTTCAAGGCAACTCAGATGAGTGTGAAAAGAAAACGGACATTTTAGATGACGGAGTTTGTGAAGAATGGGTCACAATAGTATGTCTTCAATATTAGAATGAGACACAACAGGAAACATTTTGCCTTAGCCACTCGTGGCAGTGGATAAAAACGCCTGATTTTTTTCAAGAATCAATGGATTGGTTTAGTCGGGAAAATCGAAACCGGAAACCATCGATTTTCTCATTAAATATGGGGTTTTCCGGTTTCAATTTTCCCGTAAACCAATCCAAAGAAAGAAAGATCATGTTTTTTTTTGGGTGTTGGCGACCGTCAGACTCCAACGGAAGACAACAGTCACAAACTGAGCCGACGGCCCAGACGGCCACAACGGATGCGGTGAATCTGATTCGGGTCGTGGCGTTGTGGCACACGTGTTGCGTGCATTGGGAGCCATGGCAGCCATGACCAACGCCAGGGATGCTGGGGTTGGGTCATGATGGTCGCCCCATGTCGCCCCACTGTCCAAAGTCTGGGAGGTTAAGAAATGAGTGGGGATAAGCATCAAAATTCTTCAAAAATCATAGCTGGTGGCTGGAGCTTTCGTGTTTGTGGGCCCGTCAGTAGTCTTTGAAAGCCCCTTGCTGGCTTTCTGAAGCAAAATCGTGAACCCTCAACTCAAGCGTTTTGTTAGATATTGTTTGATTTGATTGGCCAAGAACTATAGGTGATGGAAAAGAGATCATTAATGGATCCCAGCTTGATTATCCTTCGCGTACCAGGAAATGCAGTTTCCATTCAAGAGGTTCTGCAAATTGCTTGCCCGGAGTTGGTGGGCAGATAAGGAGTTGGAGGACATGCTTCAGGTAAGACTGCAAACTTCCTTGGTCGCTCAGCCTGACTTGGCCCTGACTAGGCGCCCGACTTGGGGTTGAACAAGCAACCGGGGATAGGATCACCACGAATTCTAGAGGGGAATTTCTGCAGTGAACAAATGTGGTAATGAACCATCTCTGGAACTCCACATGTTGTAGAAGTAAATCTCATACATTTCTAGGGTCTTCAGGTCAAGCAACAAGCAGAAAAACTAGCTGATGACCGTTTTACCTTGGCATTTGATATGAAGTGCTTGCCAGTCTTGGTGAAAGGGGGAAGGCTACTAGTGCCATTTCTCGTTAGGTGCTGTAGTTGAGTATTTCTGAGCTAACTGTTTCGAATGTCAAGGGCGTTTCACAATGGAGAGGCCCTTCATACATCCCAACATGGCACCAATTGGTTTCATAATTCTCATACGGTATTATTACCATCTGGGTATTTAACATAGCCATGGAAAATCACAATTTTATACCATTTTTAATAGGTAAACCATCTATAAATAGGCCATTTTCCATGGCTATGTTAAATAACCAGAGGGTATGTATTATTAATCCAAAGATATTCAGCACTGTCAGCAATGGGCCCGAATCATTCGACCTTTTGTTCCATTTTTTGCTGAAATTTTGAGCCCAAGGAAGGCTTGTATGTCATGATCACGCTGTTTCTGGTCCTCCAATGCCACAGCTGGAAGATGTTTTGCCAGCGCCTTGTGCGCAAAGTGGGTCGCCAGTTGGTGGTGATGTATTTCATTGCCTCCACGCTGCCGCTGCTCTTATATACCTCATCACCGATGAATTGCCTTCAAGAACCCACACTGAATCCTGCAGTGGTTGCTCGATCGGCGAAACACTTCCTCTTTGGTGGCAAAGAAACATGGCGTTTTTGATTCCTGGGGCTACTCTTAGGGGCTAGACATGCTAGGTTGGGCCTGGTGATGATTTTAGAAACATCTCGGAAGGTTGGTTACCCTACTTGAGCAGTGCCCCAAGTATCCATTGGTAGCTTAGTTTTGGAGTTATGCTACCTACTTACAGGGATCATGAATGATTACTAGAATTTGCAACCCAGTGTAATACCACAGTGGGACATAGTGGGACTATATAACTAGTAAGTTGGTGCTGTAACATTGATGTGCACCCGCACACAGACACAACATAGACAGACAATGATAGACATATTATACAATCGAATGATGGCAGTGATTAGGTATCATGTGATCACCCTTCATATGTTTTTCCCCAGTACAGCTGGTTTGCCACTTGAGGATTGGGTCTGGGCGATCCAGATGGATTTGCACATCTTCTTGCTCATCGGAAGCCTAGGTCTATTGCGGCGATATCTTCCAAGCACGTTGCCTGCGGCATGCGTGTTGTATTGGGTATCTGGGCACGGTGCTTTTGCACATTTTTTTCAAGTCTCCATTCCAATCTGGAATCATGATCCATTTTTTGAACTTTCACCAAAATTTTCCTGGGGTGGGTCAACCAGCCACCATGGGTAAAATCAGGGTAGAAAACAACCCTGGAAAATCTGGGTAGAAACTCCCTGGCTGGTATGAACCCAATGCAGCAACCAGGCATATATTCTGCGCATGGCCATGAGTGAAGGCCCTTGTTTTGTCAGTGAAGTGTCCGAGGAACTTCAGGACCACACTCGCTGGGTCACTGGGAATGGAAGGGCTGAAGAGCCAATGCCCAAATCCCTGAGAGTATCCGGTATGGTTTGTAGTTGGGGTATGGGAATAAGTGGGACAGAATTGGGTATTTGATGATATATCATACATGTATACTGTATACATATATACATATATATATATATGTATATATATACATATACATATGTGTATATATATATACATATGTATAATATGTATATATATATAATGTATAGATATATATAATATGTATGTATATGTATGTATATATATACACATATACATATACATACATATTATATATATATATCTATACATTATATATATATACACATCACAGAGTAAGTTAGATTCCAATTGCAAAAAAGGCAATATGTATTTTGATCCTCCATTACCCAATGGTATTTACCATACTCCATCTGGGTAGCTATCTAGTTGAGAAATGGGGGGTTAACCAATCAGGCCAATGGCCATTATCAGTTTGCCCACAGTAGGAATGGGGTCCATTTTTTGTCTGAATGAATCTATGATGAAATTACTTGCAACAGAGAATCTACCACACCATGTTTTCATCAAAACTCAGGTCACGCATTTTTCATTCTGGCTGCATTGGTTTCCCACCTGCTTACTCTTGTTGAATCTGGACACTTGGCTGCGAAAAGCCCACACCATCTTTCTCTTGGGCCGCCTGAAGCAGATGTTGGGAAAGCTCCTAATCCTTTTCATCGCAGTGCTGCTGTGCTTGAGCTACTGGATTTCTGCCAAAGCTAGCCTGCAAGTGGATTGGCAGAGCCTTGGAGGTTTTCAGATTTTTCTTAGATAGTTCCTGATCATCTCCATGAATTGACGTTCGACGTAGGCCGAAGATCTTTGTTTTTCTTTTTTTCCCGCGCTCATTTTTTTCCTCCTTTTTTTGGTGCTCCAAGAGGAGCTTGGGCTTTAGCAACTGCCCCATGTATTGTGGGGGCCACAGTCCCAGCATGCCCTATGTGTTGGCTGGGCTGCCGTTTCATCTGACCATCTTCCTGTTCCTTCACCTGTCAGCGGCGCCGGCGCCAACGACGGGACCGCCACCACCGACACCGGGAGCGGCGGGACCGGTGGCGACTTTCTGCAGTGCCTTCAGATACTTGGAGATCACGGTGGGTGCCAGGAATGGTAACCAGATATGGGGATGGGTCAAAACCTTGTACCCCTGGTGAACATCAAAATAGCTGGTAAATGGATGTTCATCCCACTAAAAATGGTATTAATAGGTATTGATCCATACCCATATCCATGATGGTAATCAAACATGGCTAGCTGGAAAATCGGCCACTTGTAGATGATTTTCCCACGAAAACGCCATAGAGGATTTTCCATTGCCATGTTCGATTGAGGGTAGGAATGGGGTTTCACATGATTACCATGGGTAAGGATTCACAATCCCATTGATATAGATTGGGGGTGCCCAACTTTCACGGCAGCCACAACAAAACATGTTCTTGACCTGTACCATAGGCTTCACTCTGATGAAAGTAGTACTTGTTTGTATATGGATGAAGGAAAACGAGAGGGTGAAGCCTCTGTTGTGTTGCCTCTTTGAGCCTTTATTCCAAAACAATGCTTGCAAAACCAAAAGTGTTCAGTCGAAAAACATGGACACATGGCTTCGATCCGCGCGTACTTCAAGCTCTTTGTCTTTAAAAAACACCAGAATGGTCAAGCGAAACAACCGGAGGATTTTGTGAACAGCCCTGCTTGGGGGAGGATTTTTTCGCCGAATCTGAGGAGACACCAACTTGGCTTTCAATATTTGGCATGGAGAGGTTGGCATCTTGGGGACCACATCGACCCCCAGGAAGCCATACATAACCAATGGGGATGGGTTGAACAGTTGAAGCCTGTGCCCATGGGGCTCAGTAGATTTGAAATCCACTGGATTTCTGAATGTTGAAAAAAGTGCACAACATTTGCACAACATTGGGCCCTTCTCCAAGTCTCTCTGGTCTCGTTCTACCAACAATTCCTTGATGCGCCGGCTCTGGGAGCTGCCTTGGCAGGTCGTCTCTCTTGGGAACGCGCATTTCCCTGCTTGGATTGGACTCTTCCGAAGAGCCCAACGGGAGGAATCCACACTGGAAGAACAGTTGCTATTCTTTGCACCCATGGTCTTTGGCAACTTTTTCCTGGTTTCTTGGTAGCCAAAAGGGAAAATGTGATTTTCTCGGAAGGGCGGCTAGTGGCTAGTGGCTTCCCCACGTTTTTTTTTTGAAATCGAACGACTTCTTGGAGTCTGTGGAATGAAAGGTTGTGGGCAGACTTGTTCATCATTCTGAGTACATCAGGTATGTGGTTGTATTGGGTTGTTAGGAAATAGACGCGGCAGTCGATCTAGGTGTATATACTGTATATATATATATATATGATCTCTGTTCTATTATCAGACAGTTGATTCTGAATAAACTGCGAATCCTGAGGCAAGAATCTCTTCAGATGGGTGAGATTCCCAACAGCCGATAGTACTATCCTAAGAAGAAGAAACCCACAGGAACCCTGCTACCAAATACAACTGTACCAGTGTATTTCTGGTCCAATCATTTTGAAACGGGTGGGTTGATGGAGATAATGTATTCCACTGTTTACCGTTTTGAGTCTGAATAACCACCAAACACGACCAAGAAATCATGCGATCGCCAAAACTAGGAATGCAACAAACAAGAACACCCTCTGGTAATCACACATGACAATGGAAAATGTCACTGTAAATGCAGGATTTCGTCGGAAAATCCAGTCATGGAGGATTTTCCAGCCATGTCTAGTGGGAAGATGATGTGACTAAGTGCGGCTCCCATTTGTTTCAGGCGTGGCTGACTTACCATGGCCTCGAAAAGCCTTGGGGCCAGCTCTTGAGGGACGTGTCGGAGCGCTGCCCAAAGGTGCTGCTCTACGTCTTCTCCATGGCGTACTTCGTCATGAACCACGTGGTTTGGTACGGCAACCGCTTCAGCTGGAGTTAATGCAGTGAGGACGATCACCAGATCACCAGATCACCATCGATACGACGCAAGGGGTGAAGACAACAAGAACAGCCGGAGCTTTCGATCTCGGAAAACTGTTTGGTCAAGGCAATGCCTGAACTTCAGGAGCTTGAAATCCGTCAAAATCTATGAATCGATCGGCTCCATGTCAGGGACCCGAAGAATTTGGGGTCGAAATTCTGCAAGTCTCGAAGATCTCTGTGGGCCATTGATCCATCATGGCGTCCCAGTGGATGAAAGCAGCTGCCAATGAGAATGTTGATCCGCAGGCCTTCCAGTGAAGAGTGAAAAAACAGGTTTCAGAAGATGTTTCGCGACTGACATGGTGGATGTTTTGAAGGGAAACGGTTGTTTTTTTTTTTTAAAGCTGAAATGATGGATTCTCTAGACCAAGATGGTGGGTTTGCCTTCAAACTCTGCTCCTTAAATGGAAACTGCAGGAGCTCACGGTCCGGTTGCCCAATGCGGATAGGTTGCCCGACAGTGACTGGACCGAGGATCATCCCAACTGGATCTGTTTTCATCTCGACCAAGGATGCAGTGAGGCAGGAACTTGGCCTGATCAATCAGCTCACTTCTCGTAGCGAGGCCCAGGGGGGTGGAACAAGGCCCAAACATTTCAAGTGGGCCTTGAAATGCACCAACTTGGACAAAAAGTGAAACATCCAGGGTCCTGAAAACAAGGCTTTCTCCGGCTGGCAGGTGTTGCGTCGCGAAGCGCGGGCCTTGCGGACAGGCGCCGGAACTTGTGGGGACGGGGGGTCACAATTACACGAATCTATGAGTTGAGGGTTGCTAGATCCCGTCACACAGCAATGTTTGTGGATTCCTAAGATCTATTTCAAGAAGATCCAGAACAGGAATGGTTGACTCTGAATCTGCAGCATCTGCGGTTGCACCGGCCAGGACATGGGGTCTATACCACATATACATACATATACCAATAAAAAGGGGGATGGTCATCAATCCATTTTCATAGTATTCTGGGGAGGGGGGTGTTGTGAGCGCCAAAATTTGTCATGCAAGCTGCCCTTTTTATACAGCACATCATGTTTGCTGCCTGCAGAGCATGAGACATAGATGTTAGTGAAGGCACCAAGATATAACATGACTAAGGATTAATCTGGATTAATCCTAAACTGACTAGTTCTTGAAGTGATCTTAATTAGGAAGTTGGTTTGATTTTGACACGCATTGCTTTCAACAAAGTCAGCTAAGACTTTACAAAATTGTGTGATATACAATGCCAAGTTTTACTTGGGACGCATGGAACGAGACTTTGCATTCTTCCTAGATGACAAGATAGATGACAAGGGCTGAGCATATTGGTTATGGAAGAGAATTGCTTCCTCCACCCAAAATTTGTGAGAATGCGGGCGCAGACTATTGAGAAAGAAATTCAATGGTCGAATCCAGGCATTGAAGGTCTCAGACATGTTGGTGCGGACATTCTTGGCACGTTTCTTTTCCTTGGGGGTCCAAGTTGATTTGGAGCAACGATGGCTTTTCATGTGGAAGCAATCAACCATGTAGTACTTGATGTTCTCAAAGCCTTCACACTCATACTTCTTGACATAACTTTCGAAGTGGCATGCATCATCATGGAGCAAGAGGTCAGCAGAAACCAAGGGCATAGAGAGCACCTGCTGAAGGAGGTCAACCTTATCTTCATTCCGCTCATTGATACGATGTTCATAGGCACCTAGCACTTTCCCAGTGCAAGGGTCCACAGCAAACTGCCAACCAGCAGTGCGATCGGGTAGAACTTGTCGAACGGAATCCTTCTTTGCACAGTGACAGGAACGGTCATGCTCATAGAGCAACTTCATGGGCCGTCCTTTGAGAGGAACTTGTCGAGGTGACTCCACAGGTGTCAACAAAGCTCGATGGACTCCAAAGTGACCATCAAAGCTAACAGAAGTCACAGGCACAGATGGAGGAAAGAGCATGATTGGCTTGGTGATTTTGATCACAGTCTTGGCCGGAAAGTCAAGGTTGAATTCAACAACCTTATCTGGCTGGCGCTTGGCCACTGCGTACCCCTCAAGGGCATGCAACAGATGCTTGCGCAAGGAGTCACTCCAGAACATTTCAACATGATCTCCATCTGCAATGTTCCTCACAGCTGCCTCTTGACCAGGGCTAGTCTTGGCACGCAGAAGACGAAGGTAGCATAGCTCCAGGTACTTCATGGTGAAGGCTGTGTTGGAAGTAACAAAATACAGCCCACTCTTCTGAAGCTGGTTGAAGGTCATGCAATTGATCTTCTGTCCTCCAAGCCAGACAAAGTTGCAGCGCATGTAGAGCCGACATTTTGGACAATATTTGGCCTGAGAAGCAATGGCAGTGATGGACTCACTGCTGAAGAGCCGCCCTTGTGCAATACTGCGGGACTTCTTGCAAATGAGAGCGCGTTGACAAAATGAGCACTTCTGAAGGCTAGACTTGTAGATGTGAACCTTCTTCACAGGACGAGGCGTCTTCACTTGCAACTGACGAGTCTTCGCCATGTTGTCTGACTACTATGCAAGGAGACTTGGAACCCAGCACTGCAGACACAGGAAAGTGACAGAACAAGTGAGTATGACTATGAGCAAGGACATCAAGTGCAGTGATTTTGTTTTGCATTGCCTATGATGACATCCAAAGAACTGTGTTTGTTTGGCGCATTTGAAGGCAAGAGGACAACTTTTTCCTTGACCACATGAAGCTGTATTTGCCTATAGCTTGTAGACCCAATGATCTATGTTTCACCAAAATCTAAGGCTGCCACTCACTCATCACCCTCTCCAACCCCAGGGAAGCCAAAGTCATCCTGCTCTCCGACTTCAGGGAGGCCATCGGAAGCTGGAGAGGCAGCATATGAAGCAGCAAGGCATTCCGTCTTCTTTGGTTGAGGCGAAGGTGAATCCAGCTCAATGACCTTTGTATGCATCCTCTTCAATGATTGGAAGGTGCCAGGCTCCTTCTTCACCTTGACCAAGGCTGGGGCAATCTGATGCGGTGTTGGAGCAGGGCTCTGGGAAGAACATGGTGCTACACCTTGTTCCTGAACTTGAAGAACCGAAGGCGGTGGGACACAGAAGCGACCGGAGCTTGGCAGACGCGGCTTGATCTCTTTGCGAACTCTCTCTCCTCCAAAAGGACTTGCCCGTAGCACAGTTTGGATTCTTGGGATAGTCTTTTTGGTCTCCAAGCACAAACTCAGAAGATCATGGGACCACTGCCTTCTGGACATCCAATCGGTCGGAGGTGTGTTGTCTCCATCTTTCATGTTAGCAATGACCTTTTTGCCATCAGCAGAGATGAAGTCAGTGATCTGGCGGTTGTTCTCATCCTCTGGATATCGAACCACTGCAACAGGACCTTCACCAATTCCAGCTGGACGGACATAGGTGGCAAAGTCCAAGTTGACAATGAAATGTGCACGCTTGAGACAGGCCACAATGTCTTGCCTCTCAGCCTTATCAGGGAAAGCTGGAGCAATGAGGTCCAAGAAGTGACTGAACGGGATGGTGTTTTCTCCTGGCTTCAGCTTATCTTCAGCTTTGCCATTGACCCGGTTGTCACAAAGGATCCTGAGCTGGTTCTTGACAAATTTTGTGGTGGTCCACCTTTCGACTGTGTAGGCTTCCTCCAAGGAACTATCCAGGAATGCCTTCAACTTGGGCAAGGCTTGCTGGCTCATGTCAGCATCATCCAAGATGTCTGGACGCTCACGAAGACCAGGTTCTCCACGGAGCTGATCAAAGCTGGAGGCAATGCGGAAACTTGGCTGCATGGTCTCAGCCGTGTCACCGCGCAACAGCCAATATTCAGAGAGAGCCATTGCAATTGCCGAAGCAGCTGGTGTTTTCCCTGCTCCCGCATTTCCCAGAAGAACCAATGTTTTGTTCTTCATGTCTGGCAGCAAGGGAAAGATGACATCCTCCAGAAACCAGGCGCTCAGGTCATGCATGGTGAGATAGAAGTTGAAGGTGGGCTGCACAAAGACATTGCCAGTGGCATACCCTTTGAGAGACTCCTTGACCAAGCTAGTGTTCCAGCCATAGATTGGGCTTCCTTCCCGGTTGACCTCTATTTCTGCCCACTCAGTCCACTGGTTGTTCATGTTGCTCCTGGGGCCCTCACTCTGGATGTAGGAAAAGCCTTGCTCCAAGGCAGACTTCTCCTTGCATTTGCTTTTGGGCTTTGCTGTGAATTGGAAAGCAAGGATGGCATAGTCGGCAACCTTTTCAAGCAGGTACTGGAAACCTTGAGAGCCTGACCGGAAATTTTTGCCATAGTCTATGGTGAAGAGATCTCCAGTAGCAACCCGCTGCAGCCCGCGCACATCAATCTTCTGGGAGAAGATGTAATGCTTCAGGACTTCGTATGTGGTGTCATTCTGCTTGCGGAAGACCAGCTGGAAAGTGAAGGGTATGGGCAGGGCATCCTTGAGGGCCAAAGGCTCTGGAAGATTCTGGTATGACTTGCTGCTGACCAGATCTGCAATGGTATCCACCTCATCACCCTCCGTGGGTTCATAGAGCACCTTTTCAATTGCAGTCTTCAGCTTGGTGTTGCCTTCGATGGGCTTCAATGGCAAGGCTGTCAGCTCATACGTCGGTTCCAGCACGCGACCCACAGGATGCTCCAAGCTCGTGCATTGAAGGCACCCTGCAGCTACACACGCCTGGTTGAAGAGGTCAGCCATGATGACGACGAAGCAAAGAAAGGCAAGGCTACAGATGACAGCTGTGACCCAAAGATGACTGCTTATTTGACAGATGATGCGTTAGAGAAGGGATGAAGTAGAAATGATGTGGATTAATCTGGATTAATCCTGGGATGCAAAACTTCGAAAAAACCAAAAAAACAAAAAAAACCAAAAAAACCAAAAAAACCAAAAAAACCAAAAAAACCAAAAAAACCAAAGATTTGGCAACTAGTCCAGACATCAGAGTAGTTGTGGAAACATTGTTTTTTTTGTTTTTTTTGTTTTTTTTGGTTTTTTTGGTTCGCTCAGGTCGCTAGTCAATCCGGGTTAGACGATTGCGCAGTTCGGGTTGGAGGATTTTGTAGTTCGGGTTAGACAGCAGACAGCGGACATGGGTTGCTTAGTCTATCAAATGATTCACAATACTTACACAGGCTGTTGTGAGCGCAAAAAAAAAACATGATATCATCCATAGTATCAAGGCTATATATCCCCAAAAGTTCCTTTTTTTAGCGCTCACAACACCCCTTTCTGATATTATAATATAATATAATTGTTATAGCCATTCTGTTAGGATTCCCAGTATGGGATGGATGACCAAAACCCATTTATCACAGTAAGTTGCTTCTATTTGCACTATATACCATTAGAATATATATATATATATACAAATGCATCCCATTGTTGTTGGTTAAATACATTACACACATATAAAAATATACATCCACTATATATTATATACAATATATAAACCATGAATCCCATGTAACTTAGCCCCACAAGTCAGGTAGTGAAGCTGCCAAGGAAGGTGAGGCCCGAGTCTGGAGAAAGATGGAGGCAGCGTCACGGGGAGTCGGAGAAACGCCGATGAAAGCGTTTGCGAAAGCTCTTCGTGTCCAAAGAGATGTTAGTTTCAATTAGGCTGACGTATGTAATGTATAATATAATATCATATCATATATATATGATATATGCATATATATATATAATATAATATAATATATATATGTAATATATATATATGATATATGCATATATATATAATATAATATAATATAATATAATATAATATAATATAATATATATATGTAATATATATATATATGATATATGCATATATATAATATAATATAATATATATATATATATATGTAATATATATCATAATCGCCAGCAGGCACAGCCCTCAGATGGTCAGAAAAGTGGGAAACAAGTGGAATCTATATATATATATATATGTATATACATGTAATATATGTATGCTTGGTGGATCATCCTACTTGCTAAGTAGGTTATAAGCCCAATTATAAGTGGATGAAGCCAACTTATCCCACGAACATAACCAGGACGTCTCGGCCGCTGAACTGGCGGCACTACAACGGGAGCAGCTCCTACAACGACAGGTTTATTGGGGTTGATGGGAAGGGTGGTCCCACTGAGAGTCACTAACAATGAGGATATATACATATATATATATAATAAGAATATTGATTTTGATGATTATATATATAACATATCTAATATGTATATATATATATATATGTGTACACATGTAGATGTACATATGTAGTACATATGTAATGTTATATATATATATACACTACATATTATATAATATAATGTATCTGATATGTATCTATACTTCTGCATAGGGTTTGTCTCAGAATAGGAATATCCTTAAAATGAGTTTCTAGTGCATTTTAATAGAGGAGAATCCGTTTTAAAATGGATTTTGCGGTTGCCTTATTTTCAGAGAAATCAATATACTATATCTAACCACGTGTGCACAGTGCACAGTACAATATGTATATATATATATACGTATATATATATATATGTATGTATGTAACGTAATGTAATCTAATGTAATGTAATGCAATGTAATGTAATCTAATGTAATGTAATGTAATGTAATGTAATGTATGTATGTATATATATATATGCATGCCGACACATACCCAGTATGTTTGGAATCGCATTCATGGTGATCGGATGAGCCCCATATCTTCCATGTTTGGATCATGTCACCTATGCAGATGCAATTTAAAACCGAGGAAACCAAACATTGATCCCTCTGTTTGGGCCCTCAATGCAGTTCTAGACCCATACACGATCAAATACGCAATATGACTCTACATATTATATCCTATAGACATCAACATATTATATGTATATATTGATTATTAGATGTTAACAATGACGATATGAGGTGAAGAAACATGTGGATCAAGTGGAGGGTTATCCCTTTAGACGAGCTTATTTTTCCACCTGAGCAGTGGCTGCTGTGTGCCCCTGTTGATGATTACAGCGGATTCTACCCTATATATATAGGGGATTCTACCCAAATAATCCAAGACGGGGGAATCCCGTTCTTAACCAACCAGGATGAAACATGGAAATTTCAGAGGGGTTTATTTCACACTGCGATTTCATGATTTGCCCGTTTTCAACGTCAAATTTTTCCTGAGGCTCCACATGATTTTCCACAGATAATCCTGCGCTTGACAATTAAAACATCCGAGACCATCCAATGGCAACTAGGATTGGGAAGAATACAGGATACCCACAAAATGGCCATTTTATCATGGAACAGGTGTGAGAATACCCGGATGATCCGGAAGATTTGGGGCTACAGTAACCTATTTTCAGCAAACGAATCGAGGAACTTGGGATCTGAATGGATCCAGCTACGGCGTACCTCACAATTCTTGGAATTTTTCTCTCTGAAATAGCCTCCGGAAATCAAAGGTGGCAGTTGAATTTCAACCATTCAAATAGTTCGAAGATTTTCTCGGCTATAAACCTCCATTTATCATGGCTTTCCCAGCTGGCCATAATTATGATTACCAGAGGGTACTGTTGGAATCCCAGTGTTGGCACTGAAAAACATCCACTTTCTGTGCAATTCCAAGTCTTCTTGTAGAATTTCCTGCTGATTTTCATGATGACAACCCCATTTCTGGCACATCCCATTCTCCATTGGCGATTTCGTCGAGAGAGACCCTGTTTTTGATGTTTTTCCATTTTTTGCAATTTAAATGGGAATATAATGGGATATAACTGATATAGCAATGATGAAATAGATAATTTGTCATTTTTGTAGGTTTCTTTTCCCAATTTCAAGCGCTGAAGTCCTTCGGTTTGCGCGTCCCTTGAAGTCCTTGGACTTGAAAGAGCACGTGCGACAACTGCGAGGGCAGCTAGAAGCGGCTGGGAGCCCCGAAACAAAGAAAAACCTGGGAGAATCTACCCATGAAAACGAAAAACACAGTGGAAAAAACATGGACCAGAAAAGGGGATACAACTACGTAGCAATGAAAACAATACAAAGAATAGATTCTAACAAGGGTTGGGGGGGAGGCTTATGGGTGACTCGGGGAGTGTAGCGAACTGGCAGGATCCTTCATGGGTACCACTGTCATCAGGTAGAAATTGGTCAAACCTGTCACAGGTTTTCTATCCATGGGCATCTACCAAGGTTCAAGCGCCAGCAGTGAATGGTATGGACCAGGCGGCAGTGGTCATCAAATTTTGAAAGTCGAGAACCGTGACTTACATTGGCAGTATTTTGGCAGATTCACCTCCTGCTAATTGAACAATATTAAACATAAGTATGCAAAATCGCCTTTTCTAATAGGGACATCATCTACGAATTCGCAATTTTCCATATCTATATTAAGCTACTAGAGGTTTTTTTTGCCAGAATTGGGCCATTTTCACCAGAACTGGAGCTGCCAAGCTTCCTTACGTGGTGGCATTCTGGCCCACAATATGTGTTTCATGTGATGTTCGGAGGGTGCCAAAAAAAAAACGCCAGGGACCGAAGCCACAAAGATTGGATGTTGAGATGTTGATTCACAACTTTCTATGGGCACGATGCTAACATTGTCTTGTGAGTCTTCCCTGGTCTTCCCGATCAGCAGGTCGCCTTTGAGCTGAATAAGAAGCTTGAGGCCAAAGTGGACTTCCTACGCAAGGACTGCGCAAGATTTTCAAAGGTCAGGATGGTCCACCCCAAAAAAGTGATGCTTGAAAACCTGGCAGAAAGCTATGGGGCCGCTGGCCTTTTTTTGGGCATCCCACGATTTCGCACGAGATGATTTCGCTTCCACCACACCTGGCAATCCTCTAGGTAACTTGGTGACCAGCGTCCAGGTTTTCCGTTGAAACACCACCAGCTTGGGGATTTGGGGATCCGACGAATGATGACTTCATGGAACTGGAACAGGTGGGCGAATGGTACAGCGAATGGTACAGCGACTGGTACTGGAAACCCAGGGGATAAAACAAGTATCAATCCAAGCACAACCCTGTTGTGAGGTCCAATTCTCTGTGAAAAAAAGGTGGGCGAAGTCTTGCGGCCACATCCTATGCCATCGCCACAGCTGGGCCACAATCTACAGGAGTTGGAGAGAGAGAAAGCCAAGTATGGGGAACTGGAAATGCCGAAGCTGACATGTTTATCTGAATTCCTGGGTAGACTTTGGTTAGGTAGGTTACAAGGTGAGCTGTTTTTTTCGTTGCACATGGGGGGAATACACAGTATCCATTATCCAACCTATTTTTTTTTCGCACGGTAAAGATTTGCCAAATAACCTGCGAAAGTAAACCAACATCTCAAACTTTTTGTAAGCAACAGATGTTTGAGGCTCGCAAGTATGGGACATGCCCGTCTTTGGAAAAGGGGGTCGTTTTTTTGGCTCCCCGCTTGAGTTTTGTACATTTTTTTGGCTTCATCTGATTTCTTTTTCCAAGGAAATGGACATTCTGCTGATTTCCGTGCTGTTGATGAAGAATTGCACAACTTTACCCACTCCCGTCTGTATGCCACGAATGTTTTTTCCTTCGTGGAAACATCTGTTGATTTTCCTCTGAAATTAACAACTGACAGCAGCTCGCCGGCATTGTGACAACCATTGAAACCTACAAAGTAAGTCTGATCGTTTCCAGACGTAGCTAGGAATTGTACGTCTACACTGTCTACACAGTACACACATCCATAGTCATCCATACATCATCCATACATCATCCATGTACCTTGTGGACATCCATTGTACCATGAGAAGTTCTAGATGTAGCGCGGCTTGCTCGCCGGAGATGAAAAGGAATGGCACGGAATGGAATTTGCGACTCAATGGGCTAAATTTGATACCGAGATCAGCCTTGGCTGGGCCCTGGGGCCATTGTGAAGCTAAGCTTTTGCCGCCGAGATGCCAGATGCTTTTGACAGGAACTCGTCATATTCGGATGGTCAAGCCCTGGTTTTCTGCTGTTTCTCCTATTTTCCCCAACATTGGCATATCTCCCCATTCAGATTGTTTGCCAACAAGCGGAACCGGTTGAAATTCGGTTGAAACATACTCGAACTGCCTCAATGACTGGTGATTGACGCGGATTTCGACTGCAAAAGGTGTCACCATTACCCACGACAAGTTCCGTAGCTGCTCATCATGCACCGCAAAATCTGGACCTATCTAAAGTCCATGAAAGTCCGTCAGGGTCCAAAATAGAGAGCATCTGGGGACCACCTGGGGAAGTACTCCCTCCCACAAAAACAGATCAAATCGGCCAGGTCAGTCGAGGGTCCACAAGCGTCCCAGACAGTCGCACCAACTGAGCATGGCAAAAGACGACCCCAGACGAGCCCTTGACCGGTGGAAAGGGTACAGAAATGGTGAAGTTTTTTTCTTTTATTCCTATTATACAAAAAAAGGGCTTCTTGGGAAGGGTACTGTTGGAGTTGGCCACCCTTCCAATGCACAGTAGGTACAGTACTAACTAGAAAGGAGCCACCTGTACTACTTCGATCGCCATGGCTGATGCTTCTATCGCTGCGGATGTTTCCTTGCCGAGTTGCCGAGATCTGATTCTTCTGATCCTGGGGTTGTTGTGGATTTTGGGTCACAGCGTTCAGCAGAGGAAAACTCATTGGATCCAGAGAGTGCATGGCCACTTCATTTGCTCCAGTTCCGAACATCGACAGAAAACCTAAAAGGAACTTGAGCATTGTGCACCCTCAGTTGGTTGATTATATGGGGGTAATCCACTTTTCTATTGGGGAGTATCATAGTCGATGATCATCCATGAACTGTGAATCCCGTTCTCAAGCGAGCAGTAAAATGGAATGAAGTTGCAGGGCTTGAACAGTGCTTGGATTTGAGCAGTGCCATGGATGATGCTCGACACTCGGCAAGGTGGCTTGCGGTCAGTGGTGCCCCACAGACGTTGGGAGAGCAAGTCGACACCACAGGCGTTATCTCAAAGGCGACAAGCAGAATGTGACATCGCTGCCAGCCAGGCCCGTGTCAGAGCTGAATTCAAAAGCGGGGGCTTTTGGTGTCACATAATTTCGCCGAAAGAATGGCATTTCGGAGAATGGACATTTTTCTTGGGGTCCTCTGAGATTTTGGCAGGGTTACATCATACATCATTGTACAAAAGTCATTGAGTCATTGAATCTGCGGTCCCAAACCCTCTGCTGGTCCAAGGCGCGGTTCGTGGGCGACGGCGAGCATGTTCGCGAGCGATCCTGCACCCAGCAGTTTTACAGCCTGCCCAGGAGCCATTTCATCGGAGTGACCTCAAAGCACCTTTTTCCAGCTGACATTTTTGAGGTTCAGCTTCGCAGGTCAGCACTCTTACTTTTTTTTGGCAATTCCCATGGAATATAAGGCTATCATAGGCTATCTTGTTTATTCATGATCATGCGTGTGACTTATCCCCATCTTCCCAGGCTCCTCAAAGTTGCCAGGACGGTTGGTGGTATGAAGCCAAGGGTGAATGTGGTCTGGCACAAGATGTCAGATCTGCGGGTGCATGACCATGAACCCCTGGCTCGTGCCCATTTGGAGACTAGAGCCTCAGCGGAACCCTGTTCTTCCTCAAACGCGCTTGCCACGGGTGTGATTGATATTGATTTATCATGGGGAAAAACGGTAAGATTCTTGGGTGGAATGAACATATTATGGCTGAACCTGCTACAATTTGGTTTGGGTGGGTGGGGTGTTGTTTCTGTTGAGGCATATTTTTACGGAGGAAGATACTGCAACAGCCCACCAAAGTTTGACTAAAAATCGTAGCGCAAGTGTGGCAATACCATGGTCTGTCTCTGGCGAAACATCGACAGAGTTTTCCCCAGCCAGAATCCAGGCTTTTCCCAGCTTTTTGTATCTTTTTCTTCAGACGTCAGGCTTGCCAGTTGTACATCTACATGTGGTGGAGAAGTTCTATGAAGTTCTGGTTCGGCCGCACGCGAGTTGGTGGCTTTCGAAAAACGGGAGCAGTGCGTTGTCGCTTTTGGATGGAGAGTGTTGAGGACTTGAAGAACTCACTGGAAGCACGTGGGCAACGGCTTTTCCTCCGATGTGGCAGCTGGAACAGATGGACATGGCCCAAAATTGGATTTGAGCATCTGTCTCTATCTATATGGGGGTTTCCATAAATGGGGGTACCCCGAAATGGATGGTTTATAAGGGAAAATCCTATTAAAATGGATGATTTAAGGGTATATAATGATATAATTATACATACATCATCATACATCCATATGTTCACATCTCGGACCACAACCAAGTTGGTGGGCTTTGCGGTTTCAACTTTCTCCCATCTTCCGGGGTTGCTATACGATAGCAACGAAACCTTCACATCAACGATGTCAATATCTGGGGAGAATGCTGGGAAATCTCCCATTTCTAGCTGATCTTCTGGCTGATCTTCCCATGGGAAAACCTTCCAACAATGGGCTACGGGCTGCGGCAGCCCGGGCTGACGCAGCTGAGGTACTTCTGCGGAGGCCTTTGGAGAACTCGCTGCCTGCTGTGAAATCTCCAAAGTCTTCACATTTGCCGAGGCGCTGGGTGGGTGCCAAAATCATGGGATGTCTCGGGTTTCCCAAGCCTCTACCAAGCTCTAGGGGAAAACCAGTGTTATCTCCATGTCGCATGGAAGAACTCGAAGAGGGATCTCCAAAGATGCTTTACTAGCACAAATATTATATGAATGGTTTCATATTTTGGGAGCGGCTCATTTCTATATGATTCATTTTGAGAACAGATCTCAACCCGTGTTTATAGCTCCTTTCTGTTATGGGTTGGCCTTTTGGCTGCGAGCCCCAGAAATTGCAGGTACCCTCAATTCCAGCGAATCATAATTTTCCACATTTTTGATGGCCTTTTGATCAATTTTGGTGGTTGGGGGTACCCATTTTCAGACACAGCCACATCTACTGTACCAAAGAGCAGCTCTTCCCTGGCGCAGGTGTGTTCGGAGGAGTTGGCATTGGAGGCAGAGGTTGAACGAACCTTGCAGTGTCTTGCCGTTGCCACCACGCCGAAAAAGAAAGGAGGGTAGGAGGTGGGCGAACAAATGATGATGGATCTTAAGCCAGAGAACACAGCAATCAACCAGCCATATTTTGATGGTTTATACAACCCATTTATGGTAAAACTGGGGATGGTTTGCTATTGCTTTACTAAGATTATATACTGTATTTGCTATCCCCAGTTCCGGCTATATATATATATATTCTATATATAATATAATATATATATATATATATAATATATAATATATATATATATTATATATATATACATACGTATACATATACACATACACACATACACACATACATACATACATACGTACGTACGTACGTACATACATACAATACAATACAATACAATGCAATGCAATGCAATGCAATGCAATACAATACAATACAATACAATACAATACCATACATACATACATACATACATACATACATACATACATACATACATACATACATACATACATACATACATACATACATACATACATACATACATACATACATACATACATACATACATACATACATACATACATTACATACAATATATATACATATACATACTATATATGATATTCATAATATATATATATATATACAATATTATATTATGTGTATATATATATACACATATATCCAACTTGGATTGAACTGTCCCATATTTTTTCCGATTTGGGCCGCCACTGGTTGGGATGACGTGATGTCCAAAAAACGCTTTGAAGAACAGGAGACTTCTCGCTTTTCCCAAAGGTAAGCAAACATGAAAACTGCTGAAACTTTGAGAAGGATACAAAGCACAATGACATGCCGCGATCCCGGCTATATCGCGATGTAGGTGCAGGAAACCAACACTTGATGTTTTCAGTGATTTAATTAGTGATTTAATTACATGCAAAGTCGGGCTTCAATTTTCACAAAGGTGGGACAATGATACTTAAGGTATAGCTAGGCATGTCCGTAATTAGGGCTGTTTAAAACGGGAACTTTCCGGAGCCATCACGATGGTTAACCATTCACAACCAATCAAAACTCATCAAAGCCGAATCGATATCTAAAGCCTACGATATCTATGATATACATTGATATATACCATATTTCCAGGGATGAAGTCCATCTACCCTCCTATTCTCAGAAACACCACTGATCTGAGGCAAGTGACGGGAGCTCAACTGGTGAGGCGGGACTAGGGCCCGCAGGGCAGTAGGTGAGCTCGGTGGCAACCCAATGCCATAACAACTACCCTCTGGTAAACGTTTAGAGTTTGCTATTGAAGCCATGGCCCAGTCGAAATAGTGGATTTACCCATGAAAAATGCATGGTGGATCTTTCCAGTTCGTTATGCAAACGTTCACCAGAGGGTATATCATTCGGGGATGGTTGGAATAGCCATAAAAATGGTGTGATGACGACTGGGGATGGTTGGAATTGGGTGAATCCCACGGAGTTGCAAGGAAGCTCCCAAGCTCCCAGGTCAGATTCGAGGGCTCAGAACTCCATGAAAGGAAGACCAGCCATAGATGCCATAGATGTATGGAGGATGCCAAAATTCAGTACGGTACTTGGATGTGTGGGCCCAGGGATTTGTCCACGGAACTTACTGCCAACTTGAGGCTTATGAAGAAATTGAGATTTTGAACCATGGGATGAAAGAGGCTACTCGGTTTTAACAGACAAACCCATGCACTAGTTCTGAACTACTTTTCTTGCTATCTTTTCTTGCTTTCTAATCCACTGTTGTAAACAACATGACCAGCACAATATATGTACATATAGAATGATAGATTGTATGTCATTGTATGTACGTATGTATATACGTATATATACACAATGTGCGATGAAATGCAAATTATGTATATGTATATATATACATGACATATGTATATATATATATATGTATAAATATATATATATGTATAAATATATATATATATATGTATATATATATGTATAAATAAATAAATAAATAAATATACATATGTATGTGTATATACACATTCACATATATAGATGCATGTCCCAATGACCATCTTTGCGTCCAGCACGTAGAGACGTAGATTTTGACCCTTCAGTTGGTCGGCTCCACAGGTGTTGGGGCTACACATTGCACCATATTGATGATCTTCAGGTTGCGAGGGGGAACGGTCCACGTGAGTCATGGCGTGTCAAATCATAGGTGGATATCCAGTGATGAAGGTTTGTAACAAACAGAAAATACGGGTAGTCATGGGGGGTTCATGATATAGAAATTACGTGCACTACTTGTACTTGCTGTAGGTGCTCCTCAAGGTTTAACAACTTCTGTTTTAGCAGTTTCAGCCGAAAATTGACGGGGGGAGAAGCGACGCTGAAGGGCCTCACAGCCTCGCAGCTGTTTAGTAAACTGTCCCAAGAATCGGCAACCCGACAACCCCACGAACGTATCTGGTAAGTGGGGCGCATGATTATTCCAAACGGGCAGTTTCAGCTGTTTGCCAAAGTATGTTTGTCATCCAGTGGATGTTTTTTTTTGGCTTTTTAGTCATCCCCATTGCGGAAGTGTTGGGCCCTTGGGCCCTTGTTTTTTTCATGCCATGGGATGATGGATGATCGACAGGACTGCGGGAAGCCTCCTGAGCGATGGATCACGCCCTATTTGACGTGTGGCTCTCAGCTGTGTCTTGTGGTGATAGGGTGCCGAGTGAGTTGATGTCTTGAATTTCCGGATGTGATTGAGGATTGAGAAAAAACACTACACCCCAGTTTTTGAAGCATTTTTTTACCCTCTGGTAAACTAACATAACTATGGAAAATCACCATTTTTACTGGGAAAACTCACTATAAATGTCAATTTTCAATAGCTATGTTAGTTTACCAGAGGGTAAATTTGGTGAACTTCATAAAACAACAGGTCATATTTTGTTAGAATATGAGGATTTTATTTGGCTTTAGAATAATCCTCATATTGGACAGACAAGAAACAGCCAGGGCATTTTTCGGAAATCTGGTGAACTTGGCGAGCGATCTCTTCTGACGTGTCTGCTTTTATGAAAGTTCATGTAGCCAAGAAAATGGTCATGGTAAGAATGGGGTGGATACTGGGTACTGAGATAATGGTTAAAAATCACGTTTGATACTAGGGATGGATAATGGTTCATGGTTGATAGTGGTTAGTACTGGTTGATAAGATACTGGATGATACCCTCCAATAAACATGGCTTGCTGGAGAAATTCTCCATATAAAAAGCAGTTTGTTGATTTCCCAAGCTATCAAGCTCCATTTGTTGTGATGTTCAATTGCCTTGTGGCTGATTTCCAGTATCTATCTACAACAAACACTGTTTTTTTCGACAGACTAAGAGATAGCCCATCATCCCACGAAAGAAAGGCACCAGCCACAAGCCACAAGCCACAAGCGATTGGTTGAGGGAACAAAAACATCTTGCGGCTGAAAACGACACACCATTTACTTGTTCTAATTACCTGTAGGTTTTTTGTCTACAGTCCCAATCAGGCACAGTATTTTAATGATTTTTTTTGTACATGTGTATGTCTACTGTATGTAATTGAAGACGTTGTGCATATTGTAAACAACACATGGAATATAGTATTTGTTATTTGTGATATCTCAGGGCATGACGCCCAGGTTCGGCAACTTCAAGAGGGAAATTGCAGCATGCAAGGCTTGAGTAGTGGGTTGACGGGGTTCCTGACATTTCTCTATACACATCACCCAAATTTTTAAGAATTCGTCACTGTTGAATCTTTTGAGCGCCATCTTGAGTGATGTTCAACCCCCCAGAAGAATAGGACGAAGATTTCTCTTGGGTCGGTGTGTATCCAGCCGCTGCTGCTGGTGGTGGATCAGATGATCCTCCAGTGTAGGGACGTGGTTTTCAGTGGGAACTTGGATCCCAGTTATAAGTTGATGGATGACCCTGCTGCTTGTTCCCTGGGTTAATTATCATCTAAAAAAAAGGGTGATGCGATCATAAACTACTAATAAGTTCCGATTCCTATCATTCCTCGATTTCCAGCATTTTTCTTGTTCAGGGTTGAATATTGCTGGAAGAACATCGTTGAATTATTTATTGTAATTAGTTATTTTTGCTTCTTCTTTATGTTTAATACTCCAAATTTTATCACTCGTTGTCGGTTGATATTTCAAGCCACAGGAACGTCCCGGAACGTCAGAACCCGCTGGCTGTGGGGCTGAGCCGGAATAGAAAGCTGGCTGTTCAGGCTGTTCAGGCTGTTCCCTTGCCACGGCGGAAAAAAAATCCAAAAAGTCACCATAAATGGCGAGAATGTCTTAAAACACCTTAAACCCACCACTTTATAAACAATCCGTACCCGGCCGATGGGGAAAAATATGTTTCAAGACATGGGATAGGGCCATAGGTTTTATCACGAAACTGGATGATTCAGAATTCCTTGACCGCAACAGCTGTCACACAAATATACAAAAATGGATAATCAAGAATCCCCTCTTTGGAACAAACTGCCGACCGCCTCACAGGTTCGTGCTGTGGGCAGCGAATGGCAGAAGCTCCTCAAGGGAGACACCACTTTCGTGCTGCAAGAGCCACCCAAAACCGACCTAGACTGGGGACACCTGGCCGAAAATGGGGCGCCTCTGCCAAAATTGGCCCCCAAAAAGAGGGGGCAATAGGCACCTTGAGAGTTTGTTAAGTACCATCTGGTTATTTAACATAGCCATGGAAAATCCCTCATAAATGGAGGTTTTAATGGGAAAATCATCTATAAATGGGCCATTTTCCATGGCTATGTTAAATAACCAGAGGGTAATCTTAACCGGTTTAAGATGGTTTAAGATGTTTTTTTGGTGTTTTGATGTTCAACCCCCAAGAAATCAAGTCCTTCTTCACTTGGCCTTTGTGATGAGGTGTAATAAGTGGCCACGTTGTTATGTTGTTCACTTTTGTCGATTGGAGTTGTGATGCAATGGGGCCAGATTTATTCGAGGGTTTCCCGTACAGCCTCAAGAAAGGCAGAGACGAGGCTTTTACTCAAAACGAACTATGATTCCATTTGCAGGTCGAGTTTGCCAATCACTTCTACCCATATTAATCCGTGACATACAAAAACAGTGTACCCGTCCAATATTTACATCGTTGTTTCGCATCTGACCCCGTTGTGTCCTAATCCAGTGGGGTTCAGACCCGGGATGACGCTTTAGGACATGTCCCAAGCTTGCGAGAGCTGGGCTTCAGCCCGGATGAGATTCTGGATGCGGATCAGTGTCGTGAGAAATCAGCCATTCCCTGGCAGGGAGGTGAGAGAAACTCGGCGAAGTATGTGGAATACTGGCCATGAGACATTTCGGACATGGAGGAAACTCAGAAGTCATGGAGCTACCCCAAGTTCTCATCCAAAACTCGGTTGTTTCTGATAGTGGGAAAACCAACGCTTTGGGGTACCCGTATTTTAGGACCCCCATATGGGGCTTGGAATATTATATACCATCTGGTTATTTAACATAGCCATGGAAAATCACCATTTCTAATAGGTAAACCATCTGCAAATGGGCCATTTCCCATGGCTATGTTAGTCATAACCCATCTATTTCTATGGGCCATTTCCCATGGCTATGTTAGTCATAACCAGAGGGTAAAGCTGCTTGTTGGCTTGTGAAGGTGGTATACCTCAGGAGGGGATTTTTCACAGGTCGCCAGCCATCGCGGGCTGAAGCTCAACATGTAGCCATGAGGATTTGAAGATCACAAGTTCATGAGTTTTTTTTTTTGCATATCATATACCCTCTGGTTATGACTAACATAGCCATGAGAAATGGCCCATAGAAATAGATGGTTTACCGGTTTACCTATTAGACATGGTGATTTTCAATGGCTATGTTAAATAACCAGATGGTAATGCAGTCACCAATGCTTATTGTATGGATCATGCTTAGTTTCAATGGTTCAGCCAAGGCATTCAACTGTACGTCCAGGTCTCTAAGTTTGGGGGTCTGTCCCTAAGGCCATATTTTTGTGGCATTGCGACATTCCCATAATCACGAAAGCCAGCCGCTAGGCTAGGCGAAGTTTTTTTTGCGAACAAAAAGAGTTTAGGGGGTTTGGGGGCAGAGCGTTCCTAACGGCCACTAAATCACGAAATTAGGTGGTAAAAAAGGCGGACGCAGGTGAACTTTTTCAGGGTTATGTACCAGGTGTTAATTGGGTGACGGTAGGGTATCGATTGCCCCCTGGTCCGTCCTCCGATCTGGACTTGGGGAGACTGCAATGGAGGGGAAAATGATGAGAAAAACAATGGAAAAAATGAGGGAATATCACATAAAACAATGGGAAAACAATGGAACATTTGAGTAGAACGCTTGGAAAATGATGCCAAGTAAAGTAAAAGTAAAAGGATGGAAATTGATGGGATGGAAAAGCAATGGAAAAATTGCGGTTTCGATGTATGACCACTATGGAGTAGAAGCACGGAAATAAAACCATGGAAGAAACGAGCAAAACCATTTATACTGTGCAACGGTAGGGATTGTGGGAGGTGTATTTGGGTAAGCGTTAGACACACTGAGGTAACATAAGGGTAATGATGGAGAAATCGAGTAACACCATGGCAAAACACTGGAAAAATTGATGAAATGGAAGGATAAATTGATAGAGACATCGCGTAAACTATGGGACGATTGAGTAAAATTGGAGGAAAAATTGTGAAAAAACACTGGGGAGACTGGAATGGAGGGGAAAATGATGTCGAGTAAAACTATGGAAAAGCAATGGAAAAAATTGTGGCTTCGATGTGAGACCATTAGTGATGGAAAAGCAATGGAAAAATCGAGGGACTATGATGAAGAAGTGGAGTAAAACAGTGGAAAAACAATGGAACAATTGCGGCTCTGATGTGGGACCAAAATGATGCCAAATAAAATAATAAGAGTAAAATGACGGAAATTGATGGGATGGAAACACAATGGAAAAATTGAGGCTCCGATGTGGGACCATTATCGCGTAAAGCACGCGTGCAACAATGGAAAAGCAATGGAAAAATTGCGGTTTCGATGTGTGACCACTATGGAGTAGAAGCACGGAAATAAAACCATGGAAGAAACGAGCAATACCGTTTATACGGTGCAACGGTAGGGATTGTGGGAGGTGCATTTGGGTAAGCGTTAGACACACTGAGATGACTAGCACCATGGCAAAACACTGGAAAAATTGATGAAATGGAAGGATAAATTGATAGCGTAAACTATTGGACGATTGAGTAAAACTGGAGGAAAAACTGTGTGGAAAAGCAATGGAAAAAAACTGTGGCTTCGATGTGAGACCATTAGCGATGGAAAAGCAATGGAAAAATCGAGGGACTATGATGAAGAAGTGGAGTAAAACAATGGAAAAACAATGGAAAAATTGCGGCTCTGATGTGGGACCAAAATGATGCCAAGTAAAATAAGAGTAAAATGACGGAAATTGATGGGATGGAAACACAATGGAAAAATTGAGGCTCACATGTGGGACCATTATCGCGTAAAGCACGCGTGCAACAATGGAAAAGCAATGGAAAAATTGCGGTTTCGATGTGTGACCACTATGGAGTAGAAGCGCGGAAATAAAACCATGGAAGAAACGAACAAAACCGTTTATACGGTGCAACGGTAGGGATTGTGGGAAGTGCATTTGGGTACGCGTTAGACACACTGAGGTAACATAAGGGTAATGATGGAGAAATCGAGTAACACCATGGCAAAACACTGGAAAAATTGATGAAATGGAAGGATAAATTGATAGCGTAAACTATTGGGACGATTGAGAAAAACTGGAGGAAAAACTCTGAAAAAAAACACTGGGGAGACTGGAATGGAGGGGAAAATTTTGTTGAGTAAAACTATGGAAAATCAATGGAAAAAATTGTGGCTTCGATGTGAGACCATTAGCGATGGAAAAGCAATGGAAAAATCGAGGGACTATGATGAAGAAGTAGAGTAAAACAATGGAAAAACAGTGGAACAATTGCGGCTCTGATGTGGGACGAAAATGATACCAAGCAAAATAAGAGTAAAATGACGGAAATTGATGGGATGGAAACACAATGGAAAAATTGAGGCCCCGATGTGGGACCATTATCGCGTAAAGCACGCGTGAAACAATGGAAAAACAATGGAAAAGTTGCGGTTTGGATGTGTGACCACTATGGAGTAGAAGCACAGAAATAAAACTATGGAAGAAACGAGCAAAACCGTTTATACGGTGCAACGGTAGGGATTGTCGGAGGTGCATTTGGGTAAGCGTTAGACACAATGAGGTAACATAAGGGTAATGATGGAGAAATCGAGTGACACCATGGCAAAACACTGGAAAAATTGATGAAATGGAAGGATAAATTGATAGCGTAAACTATTGGGACGATTGAGTAAAACTGGAGGAAAAACTGTGAAAAAAATACTGGGGAAATTGGAATGGAGGGGAAACGTTCGGAAATACTGTAGCACCGACATATGTTGACTCTGTGCTAGTCACGTAGGCAAGTGCTGCGGTTGCCACCGCCGGTGAAGGTGGACAACCCAGATCAGCGGCATTCTGCTTATGGTGAACAGCCCATTAGCTGTTGGATGTTGTTTTGATGACGTGTGTATATATATGTGCACCTGCAGGAGGTGGGCGTCATTGCAGCTCCTGCTGTGTTGCCGAAGGCACGCAGATACTGCTTCAAGCGTTGTGGGTGCACGGTCGCACTGGGAGATGCTGTGAAAGCTACATATCACAGGTTGGTTTTGTTCAAGAGGGGTTACCATCGAACGAGGCCAGTGTGTTGGAACCGTCTGGCATTGCTTTCAGATTCTGATGTTTTTGTTTTGCAATGCCGACGAATTCTGTCTAGCTCTGTGCTAGTCAGACAGGGAAGTACTTCGGTGTTGCCACCGCCGGCGAAGGCGGCCAATCTGGAGTAGCGGCATTGTTGGGAAATGCTGTAGCATCTGCATATGACAGGCAGGTATTGTTGACGGGAGGCTACCATCGACGGAGGCCACTGTGGTAGAATTGGCTAGAATGAGTACTTGCTTTTCCGATGTTATTAGGGGTACGGTATAGTAGTCATTTCCTTTGCAGTGCTGACGAATGTTGTCTAGCTCTGTGCTTGTCACACAGGCAAGTGTTTCGGTGTTGCCACCGCCGGCGAAGGTGGACAGCCCAGATTAGCAGCATTTTGCTTTTGGCGATGTAGCCCATTAGCTGTTGGATGTAGTTTTGAGCGATGCGTGCACGTGTGCATAGCAGGAAGCGGGCTTAATTGCGGCTGCTGCTGTCCGAAAGTGCGACACTTAACATAGGTGTTCCGCTCTCATTCTTTGCACATGCATGGTTTGACAGTTTGAGTCTTGAACCTGTTGAAGACAGGTTACTTTCCGCGGCCATTGGGGATTTCAAGGGAACCCTTCGGCCTTAGGCTTTTTGCAATAGCAGCTGCGGTGTGCGTGGAAAAGTCGTGCCATCTTCGAGACACGTGCGGCAGGCTGGTGGTGCTTGCGTGGTTTGGCATATCTTTGAAATAAGCTGGTTTTGTCCCTGTCCGGGACTTAGCGCATTGGATAGCTACATTGTTGATCATCGTAAAGAACATCAAGATCAATTGGCTGAGGCTACCAGTGCACTTGCACTGGTAGCGGAGCCTCTACGGGGGCTTGCTACGTGGTGGGCACTGACTTCTGTTTGAACTTTGCGCCCCCGCAGAATTCACAGAGAAACTGAATTTGTTTGATTGCAAGCTTCTAGACCATTTTGGTCGACATGTCATCCAGGGACCAACGAGAAGATCAACTGGTGCCATCGTGGGACGGCGAAGTGCACAACTGGCCGGAGTACGCTCGGAGGGTGCGTTTGTGTTGGGCTCAGACACCTCTGCACAAGCGCTACACGCTTGCTCCTCGCTTGGTTCTGCGCTTGAAGGGCAAAGCCTGGGAAGCCGCCTCAACCGTGAATCACTCCAAGCTGAGCCAAGACAATGGCACTCAATACCTCCTGTCATACTTGAAGGAGAAACTGGGAAGGCTGCCTGTCCCAGATGTTCGACAGCACCTTGACGACCTTTTCGTCAAGCTGAGGAGGCAACCTGGAACAGATCTCCTGAGTTGGTGCACTCAACTTCGTGAGAGTTACCGTAGAGTCCAACGTGCACTGGCTCGAACATTCAGGCCAAAGAAGGAGGTAGGCGTTCAGACTGAGCGCTCTATGTTTGCTGGAGAGGATGCTTCGGAACGTGGCACTGGAAGTGAGCCGCATCGAGAGCCAATCCGTTCAACTCCTGATGGAACTGAACGGGAGAATGCATCTCCGCTGAATACTACTCATGAGGCAGAGAATGACGAGGGCGAAGACTGGCCATCCCCACAGCAGTCAGAAGCAGGATGGTGGTCACAGTGGGGATGGGATGGCTGGACGAATGATGCCACATGGGACTGGTATGATGACCGCTACCCATCTTCTGGCTACGATCACTTTGAGGATGACTCCAACGACTATGCCTGGGAGGATGAAGACCAGCTCCTTCCGGAGATTTTGCCGGAGGAGGTGTTAGGTTGGCTCCTCATGAGGCGATCATCTTTGCCAGGAGGTGCGCGTCTTGCAGTACAAGCTGCTGCAGGGAACAGTCTGCGTCTCACAGACGTAGAGCGTGCGCTACGCCAACAAGAGGATGAGCTGATGCAGATGGAGCGCCAACGCAATCAGCCTCACAACCGTTCAGGAAGATCCTTTTGGGTTGAGAAGGACGATACTTGGGGCTTGGTCTTGACAGAGATGGAAGAGCTTGAGACCTTGGCAGATGACCACATCCACTGGCTTGATTCGGAGTCACAGGCAGCATTCTTCGGGGCATCACAACCAGATCCACAAGATGACCTCGAGCATAGCTTCTTATTCTTTTGTTATGTATTGTTAGATGACGTACCACCCTTCATCATTTCAAGTCTCAGAATTCTATTTGTCCGTAACACGGAAGTATTGCTTCCCAACTTCCTTTGATGATATACGGTCATGAGCGTTTTCATCAAATGTGGGAAATCTATGTATCTTAAAATTCCCCATTACATCCTCATAAAAATACATGAAACTCCACTAGAGTCCATGAAACTCCATGAAAATCTCTATCATACTTGGTGGCTCATCCCACTTACGAAGTAGGTTACATCCCTGGTTTTAAGTGGGATAAGTAGGGTTAATCCACTTACATATAACCTATTTACTAAGTGGGATGAACCACCAAGTAGGGAAAGTCAAGGGACAAAATGGAAGAGTTTGGATTTAATATGATTTAATAGGATGTAATGGCAGTGATAATGGGATTGAATGATTTCATGTGTAGGCTCTGCAACATGTGCGCAACATGCCAAGCCAATTTGCTCAAACATTATGCGCACAGCACATTTCAGAGTCACAACTCGCACTTGTTATGACCGGTATATCGTTTGCTGCACTGCCGCCTATCAGTCAAGTTGACTGTTCACGGACGATTGTGGAATTTTGTCAGCCCAGAGCAGCCAACCCCAATCTATAAGTTAGTTGATGATAGATTGTTATTTCTTCATAGAAGATCATATCTTCATGTTTCCCATTAGATCCCGTTGTTTCTGTTTTGGATTTTACTCATTATCTCATCCATAATGGCAATATCTTATGTATTCCCCCAATTATATTTCACCTAAATGCAATCACCTCCCAAAGGGTAAACATGTATATCATGTACGCCCTTTAGATATCTTACAGTTTTGGTCGTTTACCAACTATAAATGGTTATAAGATGTGTTAACTGTTTTTCTATGAGATTATACATTCCATTATTATTAAGGTTATTTCAGTACTGACAAGTGGTATTTCGGGCCATAACTGTACTGCATCCGATTGGATCTCATGTATTGGATCACATCCCCACAGCTGCAGGACCCAGCAGCTGCACTGGGCATCGCCAGACTCTCAGGGCACAACTTTTGAGCAGTTCATGGGACCTATGATGGATGGCAACGAATCTGATATCATTTCCTCAAACAGTAACTCTTTAAGGGAGATAAACCCTATAAAAATAGGGTTTAACCTATCAGAAATATGGCTTAACTTATTACAAAAATGATGAATTATGATCCAATCTGAATGAGTTGCAGTATGATCTCTGGGGATATCATAGGAATGATGGCCTCAGTGCGACTCTGGAATGATAGGAATTGTGGGGGTGGCGCCTTCGATGCTCAAGATGCTCATTTCACCGACCTTAAACCTATGGCATTGCTGCTGAAGCCATTCTTTTGACATAGACCTTTTTTGATGGCAACCACACCACAAGCTCTACATTCCAAAATTATAATTTCAGAATATAAGAAGTTCCCCGAAACCATATAGTGGATTGAGTGGTTGCCATAAATTTCAACAACCCACATGGCCTGGCCAAGTTAGCCATTCCACTCCAAAATTGTCTTTTAATGATTTGGGACTTTTTGGAGTTTCACCGGTGTCTGTGGGAGGCAGAAGTCCGAGCTTTCCATACGCATCTTATGGAAAAAGGTGACCCCCAAGTTGGGCACCACTTTCGAAAGATCGGGGAGGTGTGCGCCCATCTTGCCAAGTCGCGCTCCACAACGGATTAGGATTGATTAGGTACGTGGTTGAGCTGGATTTTCTGGAAAGTGGCGTTGGGGCACTTTCTGGGAATGTCACTTGTAGTCATAGACTCAGTGACAGCAGACGCCGGAGGCCAGGTAGGAGAGATTTTGCTCAACGCTTGTCGGACGAATCAGGGTGGATCGTGGGCTTCATCTGGCGCTGGGGCAAACATACTTGGCCTACCCTCTGGTAAACGAACGTAACTATGGAAAATCACCATTTTTTTTAATGGATAAATGATAAATCCACTACAAATGGCAAATTTCACTAGGTATCTTAGTTTACCAGAGGGTACTTGTGGAGTGGTGCCGCTAATTAGCGGCATGTATCCACACGCGGGCGAAGTATGTAAGCCCCACAGGTGGAACATTGATGTTAATTCGTTTCGTTCAGATTTTGATGCAACAGAAGGCTCAAGCGGCCCCCGGTTTCCCTCCTTCCGCGGCGCGGGGGCGCAGATATACACAGAGAATCACAGAGATGTGTATGTATTTTTTCATATTCTTAAAATTCTTATACTTGTTATATGTTGTATGTTTTAGATTGCGCACCATTACTTGATAATACTTAGCAGATCCGAGCAATAGCCGGCAGGCCCAAACGAATACTCAGAAACCCTATGAATCGTGAGAATCGCAGACATGGCCTGGAAACAGATATTCCAAAAAAGCATAGTACCTCCAACAAAGATAGAATGTTGGTGGTTTCCATGGGTATTTAGCGGTTTAATGGTGGTTTAATGGGCATTTAATTGATTACTGGTTGGTGGTTTGGAACATGACTTTTCTTTTCCATAGTAGATGGGATGTCATCCTTCCCATTGACTTTCATATTTTCCACAGGGGTTGAAACCACCAACCAGATTATCAATGTGTTCACTATGGGATGTAGCATATTTTACATCATTGTTTTATCATTACCGTATTAACCGATGATTGAATCATGTGTGATTTTATACATAATTCCTATATAGTTGTTTATTCGTTGCCATTTGCAGCTCCTCACCTCAGGCCGAATACAAACTGAGAGTAATAGTAAGTGTTAATAGTAATAGTAGTTGTACCACATGCAAATCATTTCAAATTAGCAGCAACTATTGCAGTGGTATTTACCATTAGTAGTAATAGTACTTGCATACCATGAAGATAAGTAATCTAAACATTGCACCATGATATATATATAGTCATTCTACATAGGATAATTGCACCATAATATCAGTCATTAGTATATAATTACACCATTACAAAAACATGATAAATAGAATATTGCCATAGTATAGTGCCATGAATATAACCATACTATAGCCATTATACATTATATTATACATTATATAACCATTATATAGCCATTATTTCTGGACATTTCTGCTACGTCAATGCCATCGAAAAAAACATAACAAGGCCGAGCTGGAACGCCTGGCTCTCAGCCTCGGCTGCACTCAGAGGTCCCTTTTTGAGGCAGGGATCTAGCAATGGGATGAGGTTAGGCATTCTGTGGATCTAAAAGCTGATCTGAGGTTATTCACTAGGGGATCATAGTAGGATAATCATGGTATAATCATGGGTTTATGAACCATCAATGGATATCTGGTTGGTGGTGGGGAACATGATTTTTATGACTTTCCATAATATACGGGAGGTGTTACCATCTGGTAAACATACAAAAACCTATGGAACATAATCATTTTTCATGGGTAAATCAACTATTTCTATGGCTTTTTCCCATTGGTTGGTTGATTAATAGAGGGGTTTGAACAACCCCCTTTAACAACAGGTAAATGATGATAGATGGTATGCCAAACCGGCCCCTCTATTTTTTTTTTACCAAAAGGACATTATTGGTGTTAACTATGTCAATGATTTGGATATGTCAAGTTTATTTATATAGCTGCTATAATTGGGATACCAGATTGAGATATCGTGGATGATATGCAGATATTTTGGAGATCGTGCAATTTGATTTGGGAATGGGAAATGCCAAACCCCTGCATTTGTTTGAGGACATTGCTATGAAACATAGTGAAAGAAATTGTTTTATTTTAAGGATGGGGAAATTTGGGATAATCAATGATGATTTTGGATTTTACAATCAGCAATATGGATGATTAAACTTGATTTCACGAGTTAACATGTGAAGATCATTGTTGATAGTGTGATCAACAGAAACGGGGATAACAATAATATGATATGTGTGTGTGTGTCAAAATAGAGGATGCCACTTTTTATCGCAAGTTTAATGAGTGAGAATTGTACGTCTTGCCAGGGACAGTGATGAGACATGGAACCATGCACCTTTCTGTGGGCATGTGGCCCAAATCCCAAATAGACGGACCCGATTGGCTGACGCAATGCAGACTGCGGCAAAAGCTTGAGCGGACGATTGCGGCAGCTTCGTTTGTTCACAGTGGCACCGGAGCCTGAATGTGCTGCATCTAAGGACCTTTTGCTCTGAGCTCTACGCACTTGGCCTTTTTGCAACTCTGCACTGGCTGGTTGTGATCCCACTTTTCTTTGTCTACGCCATTGCCCTGGCAGGGGCTTTGAACTGGACCTAGGTGTGGGAAACCTCTGGCTGCTTCGCTGGTGGTAACTTTTCCTTCTGGGATTCTGGGCTCTGGCAGGAGTCGCTTTTGACTGGATTGATTGGTAACCGCTGGCTGGAATCCTTTCACTTGGTGTTTAACAAGCTGCATTCTACAGACTAAGTCTCTGGAACTAGTGTCAGTTTGGGCACCTTCGCTTTTCTGTTTCAATTTCTGGCTGGGTGGTACAGTTTATTCGTATCTGGCTGGGCAGTGCATTTTGCACCTTTTGCTCTACGTGGTGTTCAACAGGACGCCCTTGAGATCTTTGCCGCGGGCCTCATGGAAGAGGACAAAGGGACTAGCTCAAGGTACAAAGTGCCAGTATGGGATGGATCGCCGGCAACCTGGCGGTCATTCAAGCGCGAAATGTCATGGTGAGTGCAAAGCTTGGACCTGGAGCAGACCATGAAGTATAACCTCGCAGCTCGCTGGTTACTTCGCCAAGGCGGAGTGGTGAGGCAACGTGGAGAAGAGTTTACTCCGCAGGAGTTGGAATGCAAGCGAGCTGAAAAGGCGACCGACCCCGACACTGGCGAGACCATTGTCTTGGTGGAGGCCGATCCTTTGCATGGACTCAACAAGTTGTTGGACGCCCTTGAGTCCATCAACGGCAAGACAGACTTGGATAAGAAAGGTGAGCTGCGTCACCTTTTCTACAATGAGTTGCGTCGCAAGCCTGGCGAGCGCATCAGTGAGTTCTGCACTCGTTTCCGAACACTTACAGCTGACCTTCGTTCAGAGGGCATTCAACTTCCAGCAGCAGAGCTTGGATGGTTTTTGAGGGAGAAGCTTGGATTGGATGGAATCAGAAAGCAACTGTTGGAGACGGCGCTTGCGGGCCAAGATTCGTACGAGGCTGTGGAGCGCGAAGTGCTCAGGTTGTTTAAAGATCTCCATGTGTCTGATCCGCTGCAGCGGAGACCTTTTGGTGGTGGCGATGGCAAGCCGTCGCTGATGCAAAGGTTTCTTTCTTCCTCGGGCTCTTCATCCGGAAGGCCTTCAACCTTGGCGCCTTCCACAGCAAGCTCTTCCATGCATCGACCTTTCCGTTCCTCCGCCTCTGTTTCCTCTAGGAGCACTTTCAGGTCTTCAAGGTCTTCAAACCCTGGACAAGCTCGTCAGAGCTATGTGACTGAAGCCGATGTGACGGAGGAGCATGATGATGGCGAAGCCGAACTGATCCCTGATGATGCGGGGAAAGAGGAGCCGAGCTTGGAAGAAGTCTTGCAATCAGAGGCAGCAACTTTAGCTGCTGATTTGGAAGCCCTTGAAGCCGAGGGAGTTGAGCCGGAGCTGTTGGAGGAGTTGGAGACTGGAGTGGAAAGCGCCGCTGAGGCATTAGTCTCAATGCGTGAGGCGCGCACAAAGATCAATGAAGTGAAGCGTGACCGAGGATATGGTCGCAGTGGAAATGCCGTTTCTCAATCCAAACCTCATGGCAACCAAGTGAACCGTGCCACGGCAACCACGAGATGTTTTGATTGCAATTTACCTGGCCATTGGGCCGGGGACAAGGAATGCAAGAAGCCTGGGGCTGGTTTGGGAAAGAGTGAAAAGAAGCCTGGCAAACATGTCATGATTGCTGAAGCGATGAATACCGAGTATGTGATGCCTGCTGAGACCTTTGGGGAAGATCCACCAGAGCCTCATGAGATCAATGCTGTTTCTGCTGTGAAGGGTCTCCCGACCTCAACTCTTTCGGAAGCCCTGTCAATGCAGACCTCCACCGTGGTGCTCGAGAAGTCACCCCAACTTGAGCTTGCAAGCGACAAAAAGTTGGTAGGCGCCTTGGACTCTGCATGCAATAGGACAGTAACTGGTTTCACATGGCTCAGTGGATTTTTGATTGAGTTGAAGAAAGCCCCAGCAGATGTGAGGGCATTGGTCAAGCGACAGCAGGAGCGTGAGTTATTTCGTTTTGGAAATGGTGGGGTTCAAAGAAGTTTGGAACGTTGGAGATTGCCCATGGTTTTAGGAGATCAACTATTCTTATTTTGGACTTCAGTCGTGGATGTACCATCATTGGGTTTGCTGTTTGGCCGTGATTTCCTAGACGGCATTGGAGCTGGGCTGAACTTCAATCGACGCCTTTTGCGTTGTGATCGTCTTGGGACTGGCCACATTCCTCTGAGGCAGCTTGCAGCGGGCCACTTCCTGCTGGAAATTATTCCACGAGCGTGGATCAGGCCTGGGTCCCAAAGATGACCTTCTGTCGCATATGTGCGATTTTTTTTTTGGGGGGGGCAGACTGGCTCGCTCCTTGTCTAGCAAGGCATCTGCCCCGGAGAAAGCATCGCTGCCTGCAGAAGTCAGAATCTGAGAGGGAACGATAGCCATTAATTTTGGTTCGCATCTGACACTAGTTCCGTCTAACTCTTGGGACCATGAGGGTCCCACATTGGAGCCCAACAGATACACATCGAAAACAACGCCCTCTGACTCCCTTTTTTCCAGTCTTTCTGAAAGCAACGTATACTAAGCATAGAGCCCAGCCACTGACAGCTCTGCTAACATGCTGAACTTGCTATGGCACAACAGGCTGCACTGATGACTGGCGGTCTGGGATCGTCACAGGCGCCCTCGATGTATGTGTTTGTACGACATGTCAATCATGGTGATTTAATTTAATACTTACGTCAATTCGGGTTTCCTACAGTGGTGAGGCATCTTCGTCGCTTGGTTCGATGCGTAGTCTCCCATTGCTCGGCGCTGGTCTATGCTTGGCTCAGCGTACACAGGCGCAGCAAAGGTAGGATGTGGTTCCGTGTTGATTACGTGTGAGCTTTGCAGTGATACATGGAATGAAAGGGAAAGGGAGGAGGTATCAGATGTAGAGAAACATGAGGAAACACAGATGCACAAAAACAATTACAAAAGCAACAATGACAGTTTATGTCTCGTTGCTCTGCAGTATCCGTCCCTTCGAATAGACAAGCAAGTCAGCCACCTTGTTGGTTTTTGCTGCCATGCTGTGCACATTGATTGCTACAGGTCTGTGAATAGCATTGCCCATCTGTTCGACTATAGCTAATCGTTGTTGCCTTTACATGCTCCGGAGGCAGCAGCGGCCACAGAGAGTATGCCCATGAACTCAGAGGTGGGGTCCTTGTGTTGAAGCATAACTATTGCCTGTGTGAACCTGTCTAGTCATGTCGTCTAGGGATTCCAGTAAGTCACTTTAATATCACAACACAGGTAGACAAGCTCTTGTGTCTTATCTTGTCCATGAAATTGATATTGCGTCGTGTGTGTGTGTAAGTGTGGTATACTGACAGTTCTGCTAACGTGTTGTTTAGGTTTCTGAGTTGATAAATTTGATCTATCAGTGACAGTTAGCATTCCAGCGCGTTTCTTCTGATAAAGCTTCACTGGCACTTTTAACGTGCTGTGTTTGCAAGGTGCCTGTCAAAGCTCTCCAAGAGTTGGCAAAGCTGAAGGTGCGTGGATGTTAGTTGGAACCTGCCTGACTATATGCAGGGGCTCATTCCTCGTAGAGTGTCGAGTGGGTCGTCTGCGATCAAACAGTCTTTAATAGTTCTGGGCAGTATGCTTCCATACTTTGCGTGTAATAGCAAACCACCACACAGGGTGTATACCCTGAATGTGAACGTGCTGTGGCACAAGAGGCCACACCGCTGACGGGCATCCCGGGATCGCCACAGGCGCCCTGAGCATCTGCGTTTGTGTGATGCTGCACATACCTGCCATTGTGGGAATGTAGGGCCGAAGGTTTCCCTTCACTAATGAGGCAGCCTCTTCTCTCGCAGCCATGCCGCTGCTGGGTGCTGGTCAGCGCTTGGCCGAACAGACACAGGCACAGCGAACGCATGTTGTAACACCAAGTGTGGACACACACGTACGTACATACACTATATATATATATATATATCTCTCTCTCTCATATATATCGACGTGTGTATATGTGTTTTTGTGAACAGCTGGACTGGTTCTGTAAGTTCTGTACATAGTTGTTTTGTGCGTTCAAGACACAACAGCTTTGCAGGAGTAAGACGCGAGAAACGTTCAGAAATGTGCAGAAACGACAGTGACAGTTTGCTGTCTCACAGCTGTGCTGTATCATGTCATTGATTAGATAAGCTAGAAAGCCAGCCCCCCTGTGCGTTTGCCTCATGAGGCTGTTTAACCTAATCGAGGTTCTTTACTCAACCATTGTTACCACTTTTTGTGTGACCGGTTGATGTGTGTGGAGAATTTATTAAAGTAGTGTTTCAATTCGTGTATATACCTTTGTATAGTGAGGTGTATTCCTCCCATTTGTAGCTAATTGAGTTTCCTCTGTGGAAAAGAAACAGATGCTTTTGCAGGTTAAATATAAATATATATATATACATTTTGATTTTCGATGAATTGCTTGGAACATCACTGCCAACATGTATGGCTATAGCCTATAGCTCATTGTCATTGCTTTTGCAGGCTGCAGCTACTGGGGAAGCAACGGCGTTGAAGGTGACATCACCGTGCCGTCGAGTGCTGCGACCGCAGCGGTTTGTTTTGTAGAAAATTGCACAGGCAACAGGCCCAAAGGACACTGCCACCGAGAAACGCCTTAGACGACCCTTGCAGATCTGTAACGCCGCTTGAGCAGCTTGGATCTGACATCAGACAAGTGAGTGAGCACATCACTATCATAACCTCTATCCTGGCCGACCGGCCACCCCAAGACATATTGCAGAGAATCTGAAGGTACCTGACATCTCGTAGAGCTAAACCCCGGGCAAGACCAGGCCAAGTGCTCCCATGTCGGGCAAACATCAGCACTACACCAAACGCAGTTTTGGATCTCCAATCGCGCATCTGATACAATGGCAGCAACCATTACACCGCGGCCGTGAGCATTCTGTGATCTGAAAATGTGACGGGCCGCAGTCATGCGCTCCTCAGAATAATCAACATTGCCAACAGCCGCAGCATCCCTGCGACCGCTAGCCAAGAAACTCCTAAATTGAACCCTTCTCCAGCTTTCGCGTACAGCATGCTGTTCCTGAAGCAGGGTGACCTCTGACACCTGTCTACTCAAGTCTATGCATTTGGCAAATCAGGATGTGTCCACTTCCAAAAACTTATAATCTGCCATTTCCGGTCCCTGAGAAATCCTTTCACGGTACTCAACCATGTTCCCTGCCGGGCCCGGGGCGGCCATGGTCGAGGATCGCTTCTGACCACAGCTGCCAAATAAGAACTAGACGACGGATGGCCCGAGAGCGTAGAGAAGCAGAGTCTTCTGTTGTTAGTATGGAGAAACGCTTTTTACACACAGGCTCTTTTACACACAGACGCTTTTACACACAGACGCTTTTACACACAGACGCTTTTTACACACAGACGCTTTTACACACAGACGCTATTACACACAGGCTCTTTTACACACAGACCCTTTTACACACAGACGCTTTTACACACAGACGCTTTTACACACAGACGCTTTTTACACACAGGCTCTTTTACACACAGACGCTTTTACACACAGACGCTTTTTACACACAGGCTCTTTTACACACAGAGACTTTTACACACACACTTTTACACAGACGCTTTTACACACAGACGCTTTTACACACAAACATTTTTACACACAGACGCTTTTACACACAGACACTTTTACACACAGACGCTTTTACACACAGACGCTTTTACACACAGACGCTTTTTACACACAGAAGCTTTTACACACAGACGCTTTTACACAAACACTTTTACACAAACACTTTTACACACAGACGCTTTTACACACAGACGTTTTGACACACAGACGCTTTTTACACACAGACGCTTTTACACACAGAGACTTTTACACACGAGACGCTTTTACACACAGAAGCTTTTACACACAGACGCTTTTACACACAGACACTTTTACACACAGACGCTTTTACACACAGACGCTTTTACACACAGACGCTTTCTACACGCAGGGGCTTTTACACACAGAAGCTTTTACACACAGACGCTTTTACACACAGACGCTTTTACACACAGACGCTTTTACACACAGACGCTTTTACACACAGAGACTTTTACACACACACACAGACGCTTTTACACACAGACGCTTTTACACACAAACACTTTTACACAAACACTTTTACACACAGACGCTTTTACACACAGACGCTTTTACACACAGACGCTTTTTACACACAGACGCTTGTTACACACACAGACACATTGACATACAAACACATTTACACACAGAGGCTTTTACACACAAACACTTTTACACAAACACTTTTACATACAAACACTTTTACACACAGACGCTTTTACACACAGACGCTTTGACACACAGACGCTTTGACACACAGACGCTTTGACACACAGAGACTTTTACACACAGAGACGCTTTTACACACAGACGCTTTTACACACAGACGCTTTTACACACAGACACTTTTACACACAGACGCTTTTACACACAGACGCTTTTACACACAGACGCTTTTTACACACAGGCTCTTTTACACACAGAGACTTTTACACACAGAGGCTTTGACCCGCAGAGACTTTTACACACAGACGCTTTTACACACAGACGCTTTTTACACACAGACACTTTTTACACACAGACGCTTTGACACACAAACACATGTACACACAGAAGCTTTTACACACAAACGCTTTTACACAAACACTTTTACACACAAACACTTTTACACACAGACGCTTTTACACACAGACGCTTTTACACACAGAGACTTTTTCACACAGAGACGCTTTTACACACAGAAGCTTTTACACACAGACGCTTTTACACACAGACGCTTTTACACACAGACGCTTTGACACACAGACGCTTTTACACACAGACGCTTTTGCACACAGTCTTTTTCACACAGACGCTTTTACACACAGACGCTTTTACACACAGACGCTTTTACACACAGACGCTTTTACACACAGACGCTTTTACACACAGACGCTTTTTACACACAGGCGCTTTTACACACAGAGGTCCGGCACAAGTAAAATCGCAATTTTACCTCAGTTTTTGACGATCGACCTTCATTTCGTGCGAAACGGTTGCTCCGGCACACGAAAAATCGCAATTTTACCTCAGTTTTTGCCGATCGACCCTCACTTCGTGCGAAAGGGTTGCTCCGGGACACGAAAAATCGCAATTTTACCTCAGTTTTTGCCGATCGACCCTCATTTCGTGCGAAAGGGTTGCTCCGGCACAAGTCAAATCGCAATTTTACCTCAGTTTTTGCTGATCGACCCTCATTTCGTGCGAAAGGGTTGCTCCAGGACAAGTAAAATCGCACTTTTACCTCAGTTTTTGCCGATCGACCCTCATTTCGTGCGAAAGGGTTGCTCCGGGACAAGTCAAATCGCACTTTTACCTCAGTTTTTGCCGATCGACCCTCATTTCGTGCGAAAGGGTTGCTCCGGCACAAGTCAAATCGCAATTTTACCTCAGTTTTTGCCGATCGACCCGCATTTCGTGCGAAAGGGTTGCTCCGGCACAAGTCAAATCGCAATTTTACCTCAGTTTTTGCCGATCGACCCTCATTTCGTGCGAAAGGGTTGCCGTTTCGTGACTCGCCGCCGGTACCACCCTCGGCCTAAAGAGAGAAAGATAAAGAAGGCGAGAGAGAGAAAAAGGAGAGAGAAAGGAGAGAAGATGTGAAGGTGAGAAGATGTGAGAGAAGGTGTGAAGTTGAGCAGATGTGAAGAGGAGCAGATGTGAAGATGAGCAGATGTGAGAGAAGATGTGAAGATGAGCAGATGTGAAGATGAGCAGATGTGAGAGAAGATGTGAGAGAAGATGTGAAGATGAGCAGATGAGAGAAGATGTGAGAGAATGAGCAGATGTGAAGATGAGCAGATGTGAGAGAAGATGTGAGAGAAGATGTGAAGATGAGCAGATGTGAAGATGAGCAGATGTGAAGATGAGCAGATGTGAGAGAAGATGTGAGAGAAGATATGAAGATGAGCAGATGAGAGAAGATGTGAGAGAAGATGTGAGAGAAGATGTGAGAGAAGATATGAAGATGAGCAGATGTGAAGATGAGCAGATGTGAGAGAAGATGTGAAGATGAGCAGATGTGAAGATGAGCAGATGTGAGAGAAGATGTGAAGATGAGCAGATGTGAAGATGAGTAGATGTGAAGATGAGAAAGTGTGAAGATGAGAAGGTGAGATACAGACCCCCACTATTGGAAGAACCCTGCGCTCAGACGCTCTCGGGAAAAAGCTTGCATGCCTGCACAAAAGTACAGGATTGCTGGATTGTCCGGCAGGAGGCATTCTGCGGCTCCCAAATGCTGTGCACGTGGCACTCCACCTGCTATCCCAAGAAGCGCAGCTGATCTGCGAACAATTCGAAAAGGGATTGCATGGGGTGGCCATCATGTGGCAAACCGAAGATCTCGGTGGAGTGAGCAAAAATCACCGAGTGGAGTGGAGCACTTTTTTGCAGGGTGAAAACCTGAGTGAGACGTCGCTGTTGCGGGACTTCAAGATCATATGCAAGACGGGGGGGCCTCCAAGCTACCCGCGATGCCTCATAACAGAGGGTGATGTCAGCAATGGGCTTAGCTTGGTGGAGAACTACTTGCTGAGTCGCTTGACACCAGAGGAAGCTGAGTCGATGGAGGTCCTCATTCACAATCATTGTGGTCAAGACCTGACGGCTTGGATTGCCGAGAGTGGGTTTCGCAAGGTGTTCGTGACAACGGAGCCGTACCATGACCCCCATTGGTCTTGCTGTTCCTTCCCGGAACGTTGTCCGGAACTACTGGTGAAATGCGTTGGGGATGACATTCAACTTCTTCTGCTGAAGCATGTGTGGCCCTTTCGAAGTTGCTTGCCTGGATGGCGTGGAGGTTATTTCAATCTCCGCACTTTCGAGCCGGCGGAGAAGAACGTGGCTGATTCGCACTACATTCGCTATACCCCTCCTTTTTGCAGTGTCGCAGTTGCAGGACTACTTGCATTCGCTGGAGCATACGGTCATGCTGTTCTCCGTCGATGGAGTGATCCCGGCTGCAACAATGGACATTTTGCAAAGTACCCCATGGCTGCTGCGCAAGTGATGCGGGTGTTGATCATCAGCCTCAGACTTGCCTATGCGAGAGATTTGCCAGGTTTACTTCAATTGAGAGGAGTTGGGCTCAAAGGATTCGAGAAGTGGATCGTTGTGCAAAGGTAGTGCTACTTGCAACAGAGACATCAAAAGAGATGAGAGTTCTTTTGTGCCAGCCAGGCAGCCACATGCGTGAGAAAGCTATGATATAGAAGCATCATTTGTGGAACGTTTGGAAACTCCATCCTGCGTTGTTCGACGAGATTTTTCCAGTCTTGTGGCTGCACTTTTGTGGCTGTAGAGAACTCCTACAGAGACGCCGTACAGAGCTGTGGCACTTGCAGTCCGTTGGCAAGAGGCTTCTTGATACGATTTGTGTACCATCACAAATTAGCTTTTCGGTGACAGATATTGACGATTGAAGGCAATACCGAGGCAATGAGGTCATTGAGGCTGCAAGAAACCATAGCGGCGTGCTTTTGAGCGTATGGGAAAAACAAGATGGTGGGCCTTGGATTTTGCCGGCCTAATGTCCGGTGACCTAAACATCTAGATTTAATTGAAAGCATCTCAAACCATTCTCATCATCGTTGAAGAGCATCTGCTACGAAAAGGGCAGACACATGCGCACACAATCTTTGCTGCCCCCATGGAATTCTCTGAGCCAGGTGTTTTCAGCCTTGGCAGCTGCAAGATAGCAAGGTTCGATCGCATTTCACCAAAGAGGATTCATTCATCTACGCATTGGCCACTTGTAAATTTCCTTCCTCAGTGTGCGGACACTGGTATCCCATAGCGGTCCCGAAATGGAGCCGAAAATGTTCGGTGACATTCACAGCTGAATGGATGGATGGCTAGATAGATATTACATAGATAGACAGATGGATAAATACGTATATACTTAGATATGTAGAGAGCTACACTACAAGATAGATACATAGATAGAGAAATAATTAGCTTAATTGTACACTATCCAAAATTGGCCACCAGCAAGATTTCCTTCCCCAGTCTGCAGACGCTGGAACCCCATAGTGGTCCCAAAATGGACCCGAAAATGTTCGGTAACAGTCTCTTCGACAGCTTCGTAACCATGCGACAGATCTTTGGGTCACTAAGCAAGACTTGCGTTCTTGCCTTGTCCACATTCCCTGGTCTGATTTGGTGTTGTTTGACGACTTTTGCTACGGAAGGACCCAGCCACTTCAAAAAGAAGTTCCGAGTCGAGCGGCTGGTGCTCGCATTCCACCAGAGAGGACCCGTTCATCCACGCATGGAATCGTTTGAGGTTCCGACTTTCTGCCTTTGTGCTCCGTTTTTTGTTTTTGAACTGATAAATGGATGGATGAAAAAGTAGATACTACAGATAGATAGACAGATAGATAGATACATATTACATAGGTACGTTGATAGCTACATAGAACGATAGATCAATCGATAGAGAAATAACTATAGCTTGATTGTACGGTATCCAAATTGGTCACCAGCAACATTTCCTTGCCCAGTGTGCAGACAATGGAACCCTCGAGTAAAACTATGGAAAAGCAATGGAAAAACGGTGGCTTCGATGTGAGACCATTAGCGATGGAAAAACGATGGAAAAACAATGGAAAAATCGAGGGACTATGATGAAGAAGTGGAGTAAAACAATGGAAAAACAATGGAAAAATTGCGGCTCTGCTGTGGGACGAAAATGATGCCAAGTAAAATAAAAGTAAAATGATGGAAATTGATGGGATGGAAAAACAATGGAAAAATCGAGGCTCCGATGTGGGACCTTTATCGCGTAAAGCACGCGTGAAACAATGGAAAAACAATGGAAAATTGAGGTTCCGATGTGTGACCACTATGGAGTAGAAACACGCCATGGAAGAAACGAACAAAACCGTTTATACGGTGCAACAGTTGGGATTGTGGGAGGTGCATTTGGGTACGCGTTAGACACACTGAGGTAACATAATGGTAATGATGGAGAAATCGAGTAACACCATGGCAAAACGCTGGAAAAATTGACGAAATGGAAGGATAAATTGATAGCGTAAACTACGGGACGATTGAGTAAAATTGGAGGAAAAACTGTGAAAAAATACTGCGGAAACTGGAATGGAGGGGAAAATGATGTCGAGTAAAACTATGGAAAAGCAATGGAAAAACGGTGGCTTCGATGTGAGACCATTAGCGATGGAAAAACAATGGAAAAACTGAGGGACTATGATGAAGAAGTGGAGTAGAACAATGGAAAAACACTGGAAAAATTGCGGCTCTGATGTGGGACGAAAATGATGCCAAGTAAAATAAAAGTAAATGATGGAAATTGATGGGATGGAAAAACAATGGAAAAATTGAGGCTCCGATGTGGGACCTTTTTCGTGTAAAGCACGTGAAACAATGGAAAAGCAAAGGAAAAATTGAGGTTCCGATGTGTGACCACTATGGAGTAGAAACACGGAAATAAAACCATGGAAGAAACGAACAAAACCGTTTATACGGTGCACCGGTAGGGATTGTGGGAAGTGCATTTGGGTACGCGTTAGACACACTGAGGTAACATAAGGGTAATGATGGAGAAATCGAGTAACACCATGGCAAAACACTGGAAAAATTGATGAAATGGAATGATAAATTGATAGAGAACTCGCGTTAAAATTGGTAAAACGATTGAAAAATTGGGTGAAGGGTGCAGCGAGACAAAAGCTCGTGCGTTCCTGGCACCACCTCTCCTTGATCTGTTCTGTTTCCCGCATCCTCCCTCTTCCTCTCCTTCTTCTTCGCACCCACCTTCGCACTCCCCTGGCTTTCGTTCCTCCCTTCTCAGGTTTGGTGAATTGAGGGCCTGGACATGCCTGGACCTACCAAATAGATCCAAATAGTTTAGATATCTAAGAAAATAGGTGTTTTCATGCACCAACTGGGGCAGAGGTTTTTCAGGTTTTCCTAGGCATTGGCGGAGCCTAGGCATTGCCTTGGCTCGTATGCAGCAGTACCTTTGGGAGCGCTCAGCGCTGAAGCAGAGCCTTGGCAAGCTGGCCACCACGGGGGAATCTGTGGGTCGCATCAAGAAATCTTGGGAGCCTGCAAGCTGTGCAATGCATATTGATTGCTGTACATGATTTTATGTGTGTGTGTATATATATATACACACATGTATCTGTATAAGATACGGTATGTGGCCCAATCTTGACCCACTTTGCACAGGTATGTGGGTACAACCGACTGGACAGCCAGTGGAAAGTGCGGAGCTTCCAACGACCAAACGTCCAAGCGCCTTGGCAACAGCTTGAAATTCGGCTAACTATTAAACTATTATATAAACTAAATTACAATTATTTTACCATTCATTTAGTGGATCTTACAACTGTTCATGGTTGGTCTATGGGCAATTCCAACCCTTTCCCCCTAACCAACCATGAAAACGTGGGATTTATAACTACTAACATCTATTAACTCATGGGGTATTGATATTTTGGGATATATAACTCTTGATGATATATAACTATCCCGTCCATCCAATATTAAACACTCCCCAAGCCATGGCTTTGATGGGGGATCATGGCTTTGATGTGTGCAGGAAACCACATATTTGGGACCATGGAATGAGGGCGTTTCATATGAAAGGGGAATGACATTGCTTGGGCATCCCAGGCATATGTGTTTTCATACTATATAACCATTTTTTTTGCTGAAGCATATGGCTTATGCAGCTGTTCTGAATCGATGGAGCTAAGAATATCTCAGAAATCGTGGGCAGTACTTTAATGAATAGATAGGATATTGCAGATATCTCTAAATCTGTTCTAAAGCTTTAATAAAATCGGAAGTGCAGATTTTAGATCAATTTTTTTTGTTTGAACATGGATCAGATGATTCTGTTGCTGATGTTGCTGGCCAATCTGGTACACCCAGCAATATATGGAACATGTGAGGTTATTGGGGTAGTTATGGAATTTATGGGATGATTATATATGTATATATATATGTATATAAACATATATATATATATGTATATATATATATATGTATGTATGTATGTATGTATATATATAAAGGTCACCATCCTTGGGATGTTATGAAATTGGGTATACCTGGAAAAAATGAGATGATGTTTTTTAGCCCCCAAATCGTTGGTTAATGGGATAGTTTATTATTGATTGGGTTTGTTACATTAGTCACTTTTTGGCAGGCTTTCATCATGGGTACTGGAAAAGAAGGCCAAATCTATCTTATTTGTTGACTCATGGCCTTGTCTGTTTAGCGGCCTAATTTGACACCCTGAATCAGAATGAAGCCATCGAATTTGAGCTGAGCAACCTGAAAGTTAACGCATGGTAACTTGTGTTTGGTGACAGGGGTGTAATAGCTGTGATTGGGACGCGATGGATTAACATGTCAGAATCTACAGAGCGTAATGAGTAATTACCAAGACTCTCGGCATATTTTGTTTGACCCTTTTTGAGAGTGACGACGTGCAAATTCTCATCTGAAACTTGTTCGTTGATTTACCTTTTCTCCAACAGGGAAAGCGTAAGGGTCTCAGCCCAGGCAAAGGTTCGGGTCCCAGGGTGGTTCTTGGTGCGTCTTCTTTTCCCCCCATGTTATGTAATGATATTATATGGTATTATATGATAGTATATGATAGTATATGATATTATATGATATTATATGATATTATATGATATTATATGATATTATATGGTATTATATGATATTATATGATTATCATATGTATGATATGTATGTAAAATGTGTTTGTTGGTTTATATATATACCAACTAATGCCATGTGTATACCTTTCCTCCCAATTTGCTGTTGGGGACACCACCGTTTTTTATTGTGGGGGTTATTGACCAACATCCCCAAGAAATTCAGGCGGTGACCGGCCTGTGACTTTTTTTACCCATGGCGACTCCCAGGCTGTCCCCATATCTGGCCTTCGGGTGCGTGTCCCCGCGGCTGCTCTACTGGGAGATTTCTCGCTTTGAGAAGGGCAATCGCTGCAAAGGAGCCAAGGGGCTCATCAACTCACTACTCTGGCGGGACTTCTATCGCTTTATCGTTCTGTGGCGACAACACCACGTCATTTTTTCTTAGAAACATTTCCATTCAAGAAGAAATGAAGCTACCTTCCGGCCTTCCGGTCATCAAACAAAGGCAATTGACAATCCTCTAGACATGGGGTTTTTAATTGGACATCTTCCGCAACTGGAGGCTTTTCCAGCCATGTTTGATGACCGGAGGCTTAAACCTGGGAAGTCCGTGGGTCAGGAAGTGAAACCCGTCCAGGCAGCCAGCAGGTCTTTCCCAGTAATTAAGCAGTGTTCAAAACCCTGGTTGGTTCATGATTATAGCGGATTATATACAATATATACAATATACTCCGGAGCGGTGTATATATAATATAATATACATAATGTACATATATATATTATAATATACATAATGTATAATAATATATATAACACATATAAATAATTAATATAATATATAATATTTAATTTATTATATAATATATGATATATAATAAATGATATATAGTATATAATAGATAATATATAATATATAATATAGAATATATAATATAGTATATATATATTTATATAATATATAATATTTATTATATATTATATATTATATATAATATATTATATATAATGTAAATGATATAACATATATATATACACGCAATATATATTTAATATACTATATATGTATATATATACTATATATGTATATATAAAATATAAAAATTATGTATAGATAATATATATAATACATGTATATAGAATATATATAAGATATGTATATAATATATGTACAATATATAAAAAATATTTTACATATTATACATATTATATGTTATATACATCATATATATTATATAAATGATATACATTATATATGATATAATGTATATAACATATAATGTGTATAATAGGTATAATATGTACAATATATATATAAAATCTAGTATATATTTAATATATATATATATATCATATAATATAAATACATATATATATAATATGATCTAATATAATATAATATAATGAAATTATAATATTATATAATATAAAAAAGTATAATATTATATAATAAAATATTACATAATAAAATATTATATAATAAAACATAATATAATATAATATTTTAGAATATAACATAATATAATATAATATATTAATATATACATATATATATATAATATAATATAATATAACATAATATAATATACTATAATATTAATTATATTATATTTATATATTATATGTATTAAATATTATATATAATATATATAAATAATGAATATATATAACATTTATTATATATAATATATATAATAATATATATAGTGTATATATCTAATATATATAATATATAATATAATATATATATTATATATATAATATATATATATTATAATATATATATATTATAAATAATTTATATTATATATAACATATATACTGTATATAATATATGATATATATACATATATATATATTTCATATAATATGTATAATATGTATAATAAAAATATAATATATAATATATATAGTATATATTATATATACCATATATATAATATGATATATATGATATATATGATATATATATATATAACATTAATATTCATATTATAAATATATAATAATAATATATATATATATATATTATAGTATATAATATAATATATAGATAATTTAAAGTATATATATATTATATAATGTATTATATATATATATATTATATAATATTATATATATATTATATACGTACGACCCAATATATTGCGGATTATCATAATCCAAGAACGGGGAATCCCTATAAACCAACCAGGAATAAATGGAATGACAGAGGGATTTTGAACACATTATCGTATACATTATCCCCCACTTCCCAACACTGTTTGGGGTCTCTTGCCGGGAGTTTTTTTTCACTGTTCTTTTTTGGTTCGTTTTAAGAGAGTTGTATTTACGCAAGTGCTTGTTGTCAAGGATCGCGTGAAAGGGAGCTCCGCACTTTAATTCATAATTCAGCCATCTGGTTATACTAGTGGCTGCTTTTGGCTTGCACGCAAGCCATGCATGCCATGCATGCTTTGTACAGGCGGCAACGTGCCGTGGTTAGAATTCAACGAGCGTTTCTGCGGTACCGCCAGCAGGCGGTGCAGCAGGCGTTCGGAGTGGGGGACGTGACCCTGTGGCGGGTGTGGTTAAATGTGTGATAACCGAATTTCCACACACACACCCATTTACCCACACCGGCACCAAGGCGCCCTGAGTTCATGATCCCCGACCTAGAAATCGAACTTTTGAACGCCTTCCCATTCTCATGCCGAAGCGTCTCAAACTTGGGGACCCTTTGAATCGCTTTAAATCTATCATTTTCCTCTCACAAAGGACGTGGGATGAATTGGGGGTTCACCATTTTGTGGCAGCCTCCGCACCAGGATGAACAGCGAAATCAGATCAAACTCTTGGAGAAGTAGGCTGGCTATGCCATTGGCCCTTGATTGATTGGCTGGTGCCAGAATGAGCTAGCCTGACCGTTCCTCGCCCTTTTCTTCAAACCCATGTATTCATAGAAAACATGTCGACGCATTTTGGTGAACACATTGCAAGCATCTGCAGGGATCTGAAAGCATACGTTGCAAATTTCCGAATTGAAGCTTGATATTGGCAAAATTATCCCCATGATATCCGAATAATTTCCCTGATTGTGGTAGGTTGTATCCCTGTTGTATGTATCACCTAACTTATTTGGGAAAAACTAACAGTTAACTAACAAGCGCATGCCACAGCCTCCACCCAGCCTGGTGTTCCCGATGCAACACGTTAAAAAGTATATATGATATATATATATAAATATATAATTCAAAAATTTTAATATATATTTTATATATGATATGTATTATAGATATTCATATATAATATCTCTATATGTATATATAATACATATATATATATATACACGATATATACAATATATGTGGTACATAATCATATATACAATATAAATAATATATATATATAATGTTAAATTTAATGCAATACAACATATATAGTAATATATATATTATATTACATAAACATATATAACATACTATTTATAATAGGTTTAATTATATATATATATTTAATATCTGATATGTACATAATTTAATATATATGATATATTTTGTATATATATATATAAATATTATTTGGAATATGATATATATCAAGCATAATATGCATATATATATATTAGTTTTAATATATTATATATGTATATTTTATATATGATGTATACATAATTTAATAGACATGATATATGCTATATAATATTGACAATGTATATAATATAGATATATGATTTATAAAATATATAATATATAAAATAGATTCTAGATTTAAACTATTTTTTAGATATCATACCATATATATGTATATATATTTGATTTTTCAATAGATATATATATATCAATATTTTATTATATATATATATTATGTTACATATTTATATTAATATACATATAGTATTTAAAGAATATAAACTATATATATAATTATGTAACATATTATATATATATTATATACACATGCTACCCAATATACTGCGGATTATCATAATCCAAGAACGGGGATGCCCTATAAACCAACCAGGATCAAATGGAATGACGGAGGGATTTTGAACACATTATCGTGCATTATCCCCCCACTCCCCCACACTGTTTGGGGTCTCTTGCCGGGAGTTTTTTTTTCATTGTTTTTCCCGACATCTTTGTGTGGGGTTCTTGTTTTTGATTCTGTATCCCGCCGCCTCGTCCTCCTCCTTCTCCTCCTCCTCCGCCGCCTCCGCGTCTTCCACCATCTTTCACACACAACTTTGTTACATACCAACTTTGTTACACAACATCTTTCACACACCAACTTTGTCACCACCATCTTCTACACACCATCTTTGTCACCCACCATCTTTGAAACACCGTCTTTAACACACAACTTTGTCACACACCATCTTTGTCACCACCATCTTTTACACACCATCTTTGTCACCCGTCTTTAACAAACAACTTGTCACACACTATCTTTGTCACCACCATCTTTTACACACCATCTTTGTCACCCACCATCTTTCACACACACACACCATCTTTAGCACACAACTTTCCGCGGCACTTTGAGTGGCAGGCGTGGCACTTGGCGACATCCACCTTCGTTTTGCTTGGCATGCGTGGCACTTGGTCACATGCACCTTCGTTTCGCGTGGCAGGCGTGGCGCTTATGGCACTGGGCTGGCTCTGGTGGCGCGCTTGGGCCAGTTTTAGTCGCCGGTGACGACGCGGCACTTTGCGTGGCAGGCGTGGCACTTGGCGACATCCACCTTCGTTTTGCGTGGCAGGCGTGGCACTTGGTCACATGCACCTTCGTTTTCCGTGGCAGGTGTGGCGCTTATGGCATTGGGCTTGCTCTGGTGGCGCGCTTGGGCCGGTTTTAGTGGCCGGTGACGCCGCGCCACTTTGCGTGGCAGGCGTGGAACTTGGTCACATGCACCTTCGTTTTGCGTGGCAGGCGTGGCACTTATGGCACTGGGCTGGCTCTGGTGGCGTGCTTGGGCCGGTTTTAGTCGCCGCGACCCCGTGGCACTTTGCGTGGCAGGTGTGGCACTTGGTCACATGCACCTTCGTTTTGCCTGGCAGGTGTGGCACTTATGGCACTGGGCTGGCTCTGTTGGCGCGCTTGGGCCGGCTTTAGTCCCCGGTGACGCCGCGGCACTTTGCGTGACAGGCGTGGCACTTGGCAACATCCACCTGCGACTTGTGTGGCAGGCGCGGCACTTGGCGACATCCACTGTCGTTTCGCGTGGCAGGTGTGGCACTTATGGCACTGGGCTGGCTCTGTTGGCGCGCTTGGGCCGGCTTTAGTCGCCGGTGACGCCGCGGCACTTTGAGTGGCAGGCGTGGCACTTGGCGACATCCACCTTCGTTTTGCTTGGCATGCGTGGCACTTGGTCACATGCACCTTCGTTTCGCGTGGCAGGCGTGGCGCTTATGGCACTGGGCTGGCTCTGGTGGCGCGCTTGGGCCAGTTTTAGTCGCCGGTGACGCCGCGGCACTTTGCGTGGCAGGCGTGGCACTTGGCGACATCCACCTTCGTTTTGCGTGGCAGGCGTGGCACTTGGTCACATGCACCTTTGTTTTGCATGGCAGGCTTGGCACTTTTTGCGCTGGGCTGGCTCTGGTTGCGCGCTTGGGCCGGTTTTAGTCGCAGGTGAGGCCGCGGCAGTATTCGTGACAGCTTTGCGTGACAGGCGTGGCACTTGGCGACATTCACCTGCGAGTTGCGTGGCAGGCGCGGCACTTGGCGACATCCATTGTCGTTTCGCGTGGCAGGCGTGGCACTTATGGCACTGGGCTGGCTCTGGTGGCGTGCTTGGGCCGGTTTTAGTTGCCGGTGACGCCACGGCACTTTGTGTGGCAGGCGTGGCACTTGGTCACATGCACCGTTTTGCGTGGCAGTGGTGGCACTTGGTCACATGCACCTTCGTTTTGCGTGGCAGGCATGGCGCTTATGGCACTGGGCTTGCTCTGGTGGCGCGCTTGGGCCGGTTTTAGTGGCCGGTGACGCCGCGGCACTTTGCGTGACAGGCGTGGCACTTGGCGACATCCACCTGCGACTTGCGTGGCAGGCGCGGCACTTGGCGACATCCACCGTCGTTTCGCTTGGCAGGTGTGCTTGGGCCGGTTTTAGTCGCCGGTGACGCCGCGGCACTTTGCGTGACAGGCGTGGCACTTGGCGACATCCACCTTCGTTTTGCGTGGCAGGCGTGGCACTTATGGCACTGGGCTGGCTCTGGTGGCGCGCTTGGGCCAATTTTAGTTGCCGATGACGCCGCGGCACTTTGCGTGACAGGCGTGGCACTTGGCAACATCCACCTGCGACTTGTGTGGCAGGCGCGGCACTTGGCGACATCCACCGTCGTTTCGCGTGGCAAGTGTGGCACTTATGGCACTGGGCTGGCTCTGGTGGCGTGCTTGGGCCGGTTTTAGTTGCCGGTGACGCCGCGGCACTTTGCGTGACAGGCGTGGCACTTGGCGACATCCACCTGCGACTTGTGTGGCAGGCGCGACACTTGGCGACATCCACCGTCGTTTCGCGTGGCAGGCGTGGCACTTGTGGCACTGGGCTGGCTCTGGTGGCATGCTTGGCCGGTTTTAGTCGCCGGTGACGCCGCGGCACTTTGCGTGACAGGCGTGGCACTTGGCGACATCCACCTGCGACTTGCGTGGCAGGCGCGGCACTTGGCGACATCCACCGTCGTTTCGCGTGGCAGGCGTGGCACTTATGGCGTCACACACCATCTTTCACACACCACTTTGTCACACACCATTTTTCACACACAACTTTGTCACACGCTCTCTTTCACAAACAACTTTCACAGACACCATCTTTCACACACAGCTTTGTCACACGCTTTCTTTCACACACAACTTTCACGCACACACCATCTTTCACACACAACTTTGTCACACACACACACGCACACACCATCTTTCTTTGTCACACACACCATCTTTCACATACAACTGTGTTTACTTCTCGATCCTCCACCACCTCCTTTGTCTTTCTTTCCTTCCCCGTCCCTGCTACAACATTTCTTGCTCATTATTGGAAGAAGTTGACTTGTGGGGTTATCGGGTCCTTTAATTTTTTGGTTCGTTTTAAGAGAGTTGCATTTACGCAAGTGCTTGTTGTCAAGGATCGCGTGAAAGGGAGCTCCGCACTTCAATTCATACTTCAGCCATCTGGTTATACCAGTGGCTGCTTTTGGCTTGCACGCAAGCCATGCATGCCATGCATGCTTTGTGCAGGCGGCAGCGTGCCGCGGTTAGAATTCAACGAGCGTTTCTGCAGTACCGCCAGCAGGCGGTGCAGCAGGCGTTCGGAGTGGGGGACGTGACCCTGGGGCGGGTGTGGTTAAATGTGTGATAACCGAATTTCCACACACACACACACATTTACCCACACCGGCACCAAGGCGCGCTGAGTTCATGATCCCCGACCTAGAAATCGAACCTTTGAACACCTTCCCATTCTCATGCCGGAGGCGTCTCAAACTTGGGGACCCTTTGAATCGCTTTAAATCTATCATTTTCCTCTCACAAAGGACGTGGGATGAATTGGGGGTTCACCATTTTGTGGCAGCCTCCGCACCAGGATGAACAGCGAAATCAGATCAAACTCTTGGAGAAGTAGGCTGGCTATGCCATTGGCCCTTGATTGATTGGCTGGTGCCAGAATGAGCTAGCCTGACCGTTCCTCGCCCTTTTCTTCAAACCCATGTATTCATAGAAAACATGTTGATGCATTTTGGTGAACACATTGCAAGCATCTGCAGGGATCTGAAAGCATACGTTGCAAATTTCCGAATTGAAGCTTGATATTGGCAAAATTATCCCCATGATATCCGAATCATTTCTCTGATTGTGGTAGGTTGTATCCCTGTTATATGTATCACCTAACTTATTTGGGAAAAACTAACAGTTAACTAACAAGCGCATGCCACACAGCCTCCATCCAGCCTGGTGTTCCAGATGCAACACGGTGATGTCGTGATCCACAAGGAAGATTCGGGCCCCAAGGAAGTTTGGCGCCCTCCACAAGTCCTAGCCTCGCTGCAAGAGACCAAGCTCCACCAGCAAGAAGCGGAGTTTGACCCATGGGCAGAATCAGCCAAGATGCTTCCTTGCAAGCAGGAAGCTCCCACCATCTCAATGTCGTCCATTGAGTCCACCCTGGATCAGAAGATCGCCAAGCATGGCAGACAAAGACGAGCCCATGGCACCAACGGTCGAACCCAGACTGCAAGCCCTTGAGCAGCAGATGGCAATTCTGCAGCAGAAGGCGGTTCAGATCGATGGCAAGATGGAATATCTACATCAACAAGTAGAGCATCGTCTGTGGCAATCTACAGACAGAAAACATGGTTTCAGGCTGCCAATTCCACGAAAGCCGTCTCTTTGGGATTTCCTACGCCCGGGAGGAAGCCCATAGCTTTCCCGCCCATTCCCCCGTAAAAAGCAACCTACTAGTTCTGTGCATCCCGTTCTGTGTGGTTGATGACCAAGGGGTCTCTGAGGGTGTCCCGTCTATGACAACTAACCGTGGTGGTTGGTTGATATGGGGTGTTGTTTGAAATAGCAATTGGACATCTGTGGGATGGATACAATCTATAAGTCTTTGGTGTCTACGAGACATGTGCCTGTACGTATATATATGTATACATGAACCACTATGTTGATATTTGACATGCGAATGTATGATGATGTACCGGGTTATCTATTGAGTCTATTTTTAAAATGTATATTTATGTATTTATATACTTATAAATATATATATATATGTACATATATGTATATATAGATATATATCTAAATGTATATATATACACATTTTTTGATTGTATAGTTATATGTTTGTATATGCATTATTTGCATATCCATTTTTTGATTTATGTATATGCTTAAGATTTCTTCAATTATACGTCTGCATATCTTGATATGTATACGTATATATCTATATCAAAATAGTTGTGTATATATATACACATAATATGCGTGGTACAGTATATATATATATTCATATGCCGTACAGATATGTACAAATGTATAACAACATGCACATAAGTATTTACGTCCATGGTATGTACTTGTATGTATATACATATATATATACATATATATATATATTCATATACGTATATATATATATATACATATATTCATATATATATATTCATATATATATATATGTACATTATATATATATACATGTACATATACATGTATATCTGCATTCTTCTGTGTACACATCCTGGTGGCCCCTTCCAAGTGCTGTGTTTCATCTCAGGTTTTTTTCGCATGGGGCGATCGTTTGTACCATCTCTATGGGCCGATGAGTTGTGGTTCAGTCCCTGGGGGGCACAAACTTCCGACCAAGCCGCTCAGTCGATGCTTCACTTGGTCTGGAAATGGTGAATTTCCCATGAATTTATGGCCATGAAATGAGGGTATCCTATTTTCAGACCCACTTTTTGAAGCGGTTCTTTGATCGTTGTGCTCTTGTCGGTGATTTTGGAAGATCTGAAACATGACCGTCCATGTTCAAACCACCCTCACCCGATTTTCAGTGGATCATCCATAAGCATCCGTGGTGGGCTGGTTTTGGGTTGCCGCATTCTTGGAAAGAACACACCATTTTCATCCATTTTCACTTTTTGGGGATCTCTTGACATGAATATCTGCCTTGGTGTGTCAGGTGGTGCTGCAAACACTACAACAACTTGTTTGGAGGCTCCGATCCCAGGCTGTGGACGTGGGAGAAGGACTTCAGCAAGTTCAGGTGGGGCGAAAACAACCAGAACCATTTGGGTCAACGTGAACTTCGTAACCTAAGAAGTTCAGTCCAACTGCAGATCTGATGATTAGTTTATCAAATGATCTTAGGATAATTGTTTGAGCTCAGATTATTAGCTTATCCAACTGATTAGTTTATCAAATTATATTCATCATGATGAGAATTAAAAATCTGATGAATTTCTCCACATCTGATGGGAACCTTGGACGACCGAGCACTGCAGCGTCCCCAAGGAGATGGGCTGAGGGATGCACAGGCTATCCCTTTGTGGATGCTGCAATGACCGAGCTCAAGGACTGGGCTGAAGCGGCTGAAGCGATCTGGGCGTTGATATATGGGGAGTCAATGATTTTTTTCAGGCCTATGGGACCACATGTTTGGAATTCATCATCTACTTATTGGGGTACCCACCTAGGTGACCAGCTTTCTTCACGGTTGCAGGGACGTGTTTTGGAACTGGCACTACAAAACCATAAAGAACCACCAAACAGCCAAACATCTCCTCCCGGTTTTGTTCCATTTTTTTTTGGGCAGGTAAAATGAACGTCGCAAGAATCGGCACGAGACCGGGTACATGCTCCATCTGAATCGTGAGACTGTTGGCTGGTTCTTTGTCAGGGATCTTCAGTTGGATTGGCGCCTGGCTGCTGAATGGTTTGAGAGTCGCCTTCTGGACTACGACTGCGTGTTGAACTGGGGCAGCCCGGTGTTTTGAAGTGGTTCCTATCTGTCAAGACTAGGGGGTTTATATGATTTCTATTTGCAATGTTGAAAAGTTGGATGATATACTATACCGATAAAGGGGCATGGTCACCCCCCCATATGGATTTGCAAACCCGCTTTTTGAAGATCCACATGGCGGGATGGTCGCTACGAGTAAAGTACCAGGATGTGGTCGAAAGCCAAAAAACATTGCACCATCCCTTAGAAACTTCACAAGACTTGCCCCATACCTTCTGGCAATCAAACCTGGTGTAACATGGATCTAATGACATCCAAAAACCGTTGTTTTTCCGTGATTTTCCTATGAACCCTGAGGGAAAAAGGGCCATTTTGCCAAGTTTTTTCACCAGAGGTTAGTTTCTGAGGCAACTGGGCATACTTCATCCTCACCCAGCTTCCTGCGCGTGAAGACGATCGCCCGGGCGGAGGCCCACGCTACACGTTGCCCAGATATTCGCCCTATCTGATGGCAACTCAGGTCTTGCTCTGGGGCAAAGAACATGATCCTGATGGGAGGCGACCTTGACCAAACATGATCAACCATTTTTTTGTTTCATTCAGCGAATTTGTGCTTTAAGGCTAGGATACATCTGACACCCACATCCTTTCGCGGATGTTTCTTGACCAGTTGCGAAGAGGCATGAGAAGTGGTGCAAATCACTGGGCGCAGACACATTTTCCGTCCACCTCTGTGTGGCCCCGTACTGTACTGGGTTTGTACAGAAATCAGCTCCAGGTTAGCCACAGAAATGGGGGCACTTGCATCACAACATCCTTCATCCTCATAATTTCTGCACCCCTTGGAAGGTACGTGAAAAAGTGGATCTCATCTCTGCAAGCCTTGCCGGCTGAGCTGTGTCGTGAACCCTGGAGGGTAGACTGCATGGACATCTCCCAGGATGGATTCTGGAGCTGTTCAGCCTGCACCCTGGAGAATCCACTAAAGCATCGGAGCTGCGATGCATGCCGGGCGCCAAGACCCAAGATGGACTGCAAAAGCTGCGAGACTTCTCCGGTCTACACTGAGCCAATGGTTCCACCACCTCCCGAAGATTTGGAAGGACTCTGCGAAAATTGTGGACGGAGAGCGGCTGGATGCTCTTCCGAGGGTGCTTTCTACTGTGAGCTCTGCTGGTGGGAATGGCTTCCAGAGTCTGAGTTGATGATCCATGCCCCGAAAATCTCACCCAGCATGGATGCTGACAGTGGTTGGTCCTTAGTGCCTTCCCTGGCCTTACCTAAGCAGTCGCAGTCCCAGGTGAAGGTGCAAAGAAAAGGTGGCAGGTGGCAGGTGAAGGGTGATAGAGGGGACAAACTCGCTGGAGGATGACGTCTGACGTCTCATGGGTCAAACCGTTTTTTTTTAAGCGCTCAAGATACCTTCAATCAACTCATAGTGTCATAGACCCTTGGTCAAAAAGGGGTCTACCTACTCTATCACGAGGACTCCCCCAAAGCGGTTGGATAAACATTCCGTGTTGACAGGCAGCACATCTCCTGGCAGCATCCGTCACTCCAATGCTGATGACGGTAAGTGTTTAAGCTGCCCCAGTTTTCTGTTTCCTTCGGCTACGTGGATGGACCTAGAACTCGCAGCTGTTGGGTTATGACGGAAAAACAGCTTATTGATTTATTGGCTGAAGTGCAATTTTCATAAACAGTTGGCCTTGTTGTTTGGCTGAAATGCCACCAGCCAGTTGTAAACCCATTGAGCTCGAGCGTGGAGCATCCAAGCGTGTGCCCTGAAAAGGTCCAGAGCCTCAAAAAGTGCTGATGCTGCCACCAATGAAGCCACCAAAATCGGTGAGTTTTAGGTTTTTGGGAATCTCCAAGAAGGTAGAACAGTATGATTTATCTCTATATCAGTGGGATTTTATTTTTCTACCTTTTTGGGGATGCCTATAGCTATAGTACCCATCCTTTTTTTGGAGTCCAGTTGGAGCTAAGGGATTAGCTCCCAGCTGACGACGGTGGTTTCAAAAATGATTGTGTCTGACAAGTTTGGGTATGTCCCCAGGACTGACTCCCAATTGTAGCCGTTTCAGAGGGAACATGATAAACCATGAGAGTTCTAGGGGGTCCGGTCTTGACAGGCTGGGGATAACCATTGACCGTAGCCCAGTGCCCGGGATGGAACTAGCAAATCAGGGACGACTACAATACATGAGCTGAGAGTATAAACGTATTATTTCGCTAGATGAATATTTTCAGATTTGATGAACTGGAGTGATACAATCATTTGCTGACTGAAAAATGCTGACGTGTAGTTCAACCATTTTTTTCGCAAACGCGGGTAAGAAAGCATGCTGACTGGATATCATCCCCTCGGCCGACCTTCCATTTTGCTGTCTCAAGCGTGAAAAAGCTGGATAGCAACGTCAATCGTTGGGCACGTCGGAATCCTTGGTCCTTGAGGCGTGGTTTGGGTCACTGAACTTGGCAAAGGATGGAGCAGAAAAAGCCATAAGGTCGCAGAACCGAGTCATTTTGTGGTTTCCTTTTTGGATCATCAAATGGTCATCAAATGGTCATTTCTTCCATTTCTTCAGGCATGGCGGAGTACGATGAAGATGCCGTCACCGACCTCATCAGCCGGATTCAGGTGGGAGCACCCACGAATCGTCGTCCCATCGCCGCCCAGTCGGGATCCAAACATCCAAATCTAAGGTCCAGTACGAACTAGGGCTTTCTAAAGGGCCTATTTCAATCTATTTCAGGGGAAGGGATTTACCCAAGGTGTGTGCAAAATTGTGTAAATGTATGTGAATATGGATATGGATACGGTGAAGAACCTCCATGTGGGCCAACCAGGCTTCGGTCTTGGGAAGTTCCTCGTTTTTGTGCTGAACCAAATGACAAATCATACCATATCATACCCAATTTGATCATCAAGAAAATCTTAACCTCAGAATCGGGTTTCATTGAATATTATCTCTACCACATTTTAAGAGGGACTATGGATATTCCGTGGCACGGCTACGAGATGCAATCTGCACAGCGTGAGGCGATTCTGATATGATTATCCTGGTTAAGGTTACAGTTTTTTCCATTGTAAGCCTGCATAGTAAGTCCCAGGTTGTCACAGGTTTTGAGATTTCAGTCTAGATCTTCCAATCTTACCACTGTAATATATATCTATATATAATTAATTCAGAATTCAGGGTTTATGAATGTATGGCTTTCAACAAGTCACGATACAATCACCAAGTGTTGTGCCGGAGTGGTGCAAAACGCATTGATGTTACGGTTGTCTTGTAAACCAGCACCCGAGGATTGAAGAAGTGTGTTCCAGAAACTAAAAGCACTGGTTGCAAAGATGTTTTCATGAGAGTGCTGTAAGGAAGTCTGTGTAGTAAAGTCATTGACCGTTGCCATCGGGCTCGTATGGTTCCAGTAGCTTTCTTTACTGTATAAAAGTGTCATAATGTGGGGGAAGATGGGGGGCCATGGCTACGCAGCTGTGCTTTTCGATGCTAAATAGCCATTGCACCTTCGAGAAATATCCGCTTGGAAATGCACTGAAAATGCTGGATTCCCCCCGTTCTGAACGGATGATTGTAATTCCCAATATATTGGGTAGTATATATATAATAATAGTAATATAATTGATCACTATTATGGAGACTATATATATATACTGGTTGGTGGTTTGGGACATGAATTTTATTTTCCATAAAAAATATATGGGATGTCATCCTTCCCATTGATCAATATTTTTCAAGATGGTTATTGCACCACCAACCAGTATATTAATAATCCCCGAACTAATCATCAACCAACAGGGGCAGCAGCCACTGCTCACTTGGGTCCCAACAGCTTCTCCCAAGCGCAGGTCTTTTGCTATCCTCGGAGGATTCGAGTGAAAGAGTTCTTCAATGACTTTGACCCCCTCAGGCGCCCAAGAAAGAACCACGAAATTCATGGTGTTTTTTGCAAGGCATGTCATGGTAATGACGACTGGGGGATGGGAAAAAGACATCGGGTGGATCCCACATGAATCATGATTTGGATTGATTTGGTGTAACCCCCCCAACTCTTGGTGTAACCCCCCCAACTCTTTATTGCTAGCCTATTGATCTTGTTGTCAGGCATGGGCGCTGTACCATCATCAACTTTGCAAGGGCACTGGACACGTGACTTGGTCTATGCGAGGGCTTCACGAAATCTGATGATTTCAACATGTTTCATCCTGTGGGCCTCCACCGGGACCATCGAGAAGTAGTTTTTGGATGACTTAGGTGCCTAGATTTTGGTGTTCACCCTGTGCGCATCCAAAAACACATTGAGTCGTCAACTTGGGCCCCCTTTGGAATCAAGGTGGATTTATCCATGACATATCCATGTTCCGGAGCCGAGTTACTGAGTTTGCGGTGAGTTTTTTTCCATCAGAATGTTGTTCCGCTGAGGCTTGGGATGCAAGGTTTGACAGACGAAGAGGTGCGCGTTTTCGGTGATTTGTTTCACTGGTGCCTTGCACTTATGTGCTGTGGTTAATATTCTCCATGAATACTAGTTCAAGATATCTATATACCATAATCTGTAATTATATTATTATTATTACTATTACATTATATTTATTGGTTCTTAAGTTATAACCCAACTTAGCTACGAGACACCCCCTTGAATGGGACAGCTTTTCATGCTGGATTTTGGTTGCTTTTCCACTGGGAAATCGCCGAGTTCGAGGTTCAGGCAGTTGCTGAGAAGATCCGTTTCTGGTTGGTGCTTTGGAACCATGGAAGTGATAACATAAAGTGACTTTAATGGGATATAATGGGATATAATGGATCTATGGAATGGATTATGACTTTCCCATCATATTGGGATATCATTTGGGTTTTTAATGGGATATAATGGGATATAATAATCAATAATGGAACCATGGAATGGATTATGACTTTCCATTTGGAATTTTAGGACTTTCCATGAAACAGTTAAGGGAATGGAATAATCATCCCAACTGACTTTCACTCCATCATTTTTCAGAGGGGTAGGTATACCACCAACCAGATTTTCATGAGGGACTTTCCAGCAAGCCCTTTTTTTCCCCTTTTTTCGGAAACAGCGAATGAGAATCTGGCGGATGTATCAAACTTCCAGTTGCCATCATGGGAAAAAACCCTCCATTTTCGGAGATGCCTAAATGATGCTAAATGCCAGTTCGCAGAGTGTCATGATTTATATAAGGCTATATCTTTATCCAAAGCTAAATGCCACTTCCCAAAGTGTCATAATTTACATAATTTATGAGGGCATATGATATATTCCCATGATATTCTCACAACTTATTAGGGTTACAGGATAAACTTATTCTTATCCTGTTCTATTCCCACTTGATATTCCCAGGTGGACAATCTGGCGGAACACTTCACCGAACATGGAGCGCATGTTGCACCACCACAGGTGGGGCAGCCACAATGCTCAAACGGTTCACAATTTCTGTGGTTTGGCTCCGAACATTTTCAGTGGTTACCCTCTGGTAATTTAACATAGCTATTGAACATGGCCATTTATAGTTGATTTTCCCATTAAACATTGGCATTTTCAATAGCTATGTTAGTTTACCAGTGGTTAGATTCTGGTTTTATTTTTACTTTGCTTGGCTGAAGTCCGAAAAAGATCAATTGTGACATCTGCAATTTCCTGGAAGCCTGTGACAGGTGGTAAACTACGTGAAGTTCTGCGAAGCCATCGACAGGGTCAAGCTGAATCACTTACAGGGGCTTTGGTGAAGCTGGGCCGTGCTGGGCCATTTTTTGCAGTCAAACTTCTTTGGAAATCCATGTCTTTGGGAGGCAAATCTGGATACTTCGACCTCTTGACATATCCTGAAGTGATTGAGCCAATAGTACGATGTACCATGTACATTACACACATTTGCACACCTTTTTTTTGACAATATATTATATAGAGGTGATGTCTAGCATACATTTCTACAAGGAGCACATCAAGGCTTTCCTGCCTTCACAACATATTTCATTGATTTTGGGCCGCAGCTAGTGATAATTGATCCAAGATTAATCATAAGAATGCAAACTCGCAACAGGTTTATGAGTCGGATAGCTTAATCAGATTAATCCAAAGTACATTTGCAAGACCTCTTTCGGATGGATTTTTGACCAATGGCTTCCAGTGATTCTCTTCACGCCCGGCCTCGCTGCAGGTTGATTTGTGTGGAATTCAGATGCAACAACTTGAAAGTAAGAGTCACAACTGCAACAACAAGGTCGATTCGCAAATTCAAGTAGTTAACAGAACTTGCAGTCAAGAGAATCTTCGAATGCGCCATTCTGAGAAGTGGTTGCAGCCGCATTCAAGTTTCAGTCGCCT